ATTAGTCAAGTGAGGAATGAATGCATTGTGGCAGGAAGGAGCTGTTAAAATTCAGGCTTTTATAATGACGTGTGTGTGTTAACAGACCTGCTTGAGTGGGTTCCATGTAGAACTGAGTTCGTGTGTGTGTGTGTTCACACGCACATAGGCACGCCCATCCCCCACCTCACTTCTCTGTCACTGTGATTTGTCACAAAAGTAAAAGTAACATATGCCAACACGTAATTGCAATGTCATATTAATTATAAGGGAGCCAAAACAAAATTACTAACTCCCACTTCTTCTTGGAATACTAATAACACTAATACCAATATCATGATGGAAGATTATCTTGGAAGCAATTTTTCTTTTGTTCTGCTACCTACACATGTAGCTGTTTCTCGCTTCTTCAATCTCTATGTAAATCATAATCAGGAAGAAATATCCTGGAGCGTGGTTATATGCTTTCCTTTTCAAAGAGAACCATCCTGCACAAAATCCATTTTAGGAAAGAGTAGAAGTTTTCAATCTTAATAGAAGGGGTTGATTTTAGTTCTCTCTTCCAAAAGCCTAGAAATAAGGCTTGTTGGGGTGGGAGGCAATAGAGCCTCAAGAGAGCCTCAGGGCAGGAGTTTCGCCTTATGATTAGACTTGGGAGGGATGGAGGATGTAGAATGTATGTGGGATATTTTTATTTTAACCTTGTATCTCTTTCTTTCTTTTTTGGATATAGCATCTTTTTTCTCTAGGGCTTCCCTGTCTAGGTGCTTTTACTGAGATGTCTATTACGAGATGATGCAGGGATGGTCACATGACCTGTGCCTGCCTGGCTCATCACCGATCCCCATCTCCCTGACCAGTGATTTGCCCAGGAATGTGAACTCCCTCTGCCAGGTCAATCCTTCTTCCATAAGATATTTTATGAAAAATACAAATGCTGGGGGAGATCCCTTCATTTTTCTTCTGGGTTCACTTAGCTGTGATGATGTAAGCCTAGGGACAACTTTGGCTAAGTGTGGCTGAACTGCCCCTGCCCCACTCTCCACAAAGTGAAGAGGACAGCAGTCTCCTACAGGAGAAAATTAGGTTAATTGTTGAGAGAGAAACACTGCCATAGGCTGGAAGTGGGCTGTGAGAAAGCGAGGGGGAAAGAGAGAGAGAGAGAGAGAGAGAGAGAGAGAGAGAGAGAGAGACAGAGGGAGGTCGGTCCATCTGATATGGTTTGGCTGTGTCCCCACCCAAATCTTGATTTGAATTGTGTCTCCCAACATTCTCATGTGTTGTGCGAGGGACCCAGGGGGAGGTAATTGAATCATGGGGGACCGATCTCTCCCATGCTATTCTCGTGATAGCGAATAGGTCCCACGAGAGCTAATGGGTTTATCAGGGGTTTCTGCTTTCGCTTCTTCCTCATTTTCTCTTGATGCCATCATGTAAGAAGTGCGTTTCGCCTCCCACCATGATTCCGAGGCCTCCCCAGCCATGTGGAACTGTAAGTCCAATAAACCTTCTTTTCTTCCCAGTCTTGGGTATGTCTTTATCAGCAGTGTGAAAACAGACGAATACACCATCTGATGACATCTTGGAGTCTCTAAGGCCAGCTTCTCCCTTGTGGTGGCTGTGTTAGGTGAGACAGCGCCTGCCCTTTGGTGTTAAGTTAGTTTGAATGCACTTCCTGTCTCTTGCAGTGGAAGGATTCCAGACAGACACAGGGGCAATGTGTTTATGAATTTATACCCGCTTTGGTGGGGAACACACATTAAGAAGGAGCCTATAGAAGGCACAGTTATCACATCTTTCTTTGTCACCTGTTGTCTGAGTACCCACCACGTGGCACTTGTCACCAGGGATACAGGGGTGATCTGGTCCCTGCACTCATGGAGCTCACAGATTTCACGATGCAACTGCTTCATGTTTTTGCAAGTCCCGAGTGAGTGAAGAAAGGAGTGGAGGGCAGTGAGGGAAGGAGGGGGAAGACTCTTTCAAAGGAGATTCTTTGAGGAGTCCTTGGGAGGTATAATGAAAATCTTCCCTGCACTGAGTTTACGCAGGAATGAAGGGACTAACAGTCCATTACAAAGCTTTTGGTGAAAGGAGGTGGTCCTGGTCTATCCATATGCGATCATCTTACATTTCCCCAGACTGTAAGGAAGAGCCACTGCCACTTTCCTCTGCTAAGAGGTGCCTCTGTCCGGAGGACTGTGGGAAGAAAGCGTACCTAGGTGAGTTGGAATTTCACGAGGCACTCTTCTATTGTGAAGGCTTCACTGAGGTTTTTGGTCTTCTCTAAACTCCAGGAATGTTCAGAGCCTTGGGCCCTCACACCCCTCAGCTGACCAGGGTCCCAAGAGTGTGCCAGTCCCGGGGAAGGTCAGGCCATTTGCTTCATGCATGATACCCACACATTCTCCCCAAATTTGCTGGTCTCCACAGGGGAGCAGTGATTACATGGTGCTGGTTAAATGGCTGCATTTCAAAGTTCATTCAGTTTCTTCCCCATTCCAAAAGGCAGGGCTGAGACCAGCAGAATCTCACTTGAGCTTGGGTTTCAGCTCCCAGCCACTCTCCTTCACACAGTTCACAGAGCGTGGACGTCCACCCAGGCTTCCTGGTCTACATGATCACAGGGAGAGCCTGTCAAAAGGTCGGCATGACACAGTAGCCCCGCTAATCACCCAAACCTCATGTGCTAGACATCTCTCAAATCTCTCTCCCTGCCTTCTTTCTTTCCTTGCTGCTAATGATTTAGTTTCTTGTTCAGACTAATGCAGCACTCTCCTTTCTGTCCCTCTCCTCCTGTCTCTTCTGCTTCTCACCTATCTTCTATACCCAAGGAAGTCAGAGAGACATTTCTTTTTTTCTGAGACAGGATCTTGCTCTGTTGCTGGGCTGGAGTACACGGCTTGATCATAACTCACTGCAGCCTCAAACTCCTTTGCTCAAGCAGTCCTCCTCCCTTGGCCTCCCAGGTAGCTGAGACTACAGGTCTGGCGCTCCCATAACAGGGTCTCCCTATGTTGCGCAGGCTAGTCTCCAATTCCTGGGCTCAAGGGATCCTCCTGTCTCAGCCTTCCAAAATGCTAGGATTACAGGCATAAGCTACTGTGCCTGGCCATGCTTGGCTGTTTAATTTTTTTTATTATTTATTTTTATTTTTTAGATACAAGGTTTTGCTCTGTTGCCTAGGCTGGTCTTCAACTCCTAGACTAAAATAATCCTCCCACTTTGGCCTCCCAAAGTGTTGGGATTACAGACGTGAGCTACTATGCCCAGCCTGGAGAGAGCTTTCTAAGGCTACACATCCCAGCACCTCACTCTGCTAATGAAGTCCAGGTATGACCCCCATTGCCCTCAGGATAAATGTCAGCCTGCCATCATGTTCCCTTCCATGTGCAGTCTCTGGCTATATCTTGTTCTGCCCCACTCTCTGTTCTGCTCCACTACTGTCTGCCACACTGAATTAGGTTTCTGAAATGCCATTCCCTTTTTGGCCTCTTGGTCTTTTCATAGGCAACACTCTCTGTCCTATTACCTCTTTTTCATATGTCTGCCTGGCTGATTCTTACTACTCTTCAGAACCGATTCCAGCTCCTCTGTGAAGCCCTTCCTGATCCCCTGTCAAGCGGGAGACTTGATCACTCTGCTGTGTGCTCACCAAGTCTTTGTTCATCACCTTCTCAGGCACTCAGAAAAGACAACATTTTCCAGGCTTCCCTATCGTTGAGTTGAAGTCCCCTGACAGTGTTCTCACCAGGGTGGGAGGAAGTGAGGCCTGCCGCATCCAGGCCTGCTCATTAAGCCCTCGTGAATCACCCAAGCTCTCTTCCCTTGCTGCAGCTACTGCACAGGCCCTGGGCTTGAGACAGCAGGATCTCAAGATAGAGCAACTGGAGCGAGTCCTCGTTAAGAGCCACCTGACACATTTGGACTGCGATGTGTTAAGCCCATGAGATTTCAGGGTTGATTTATTACCTGGCTGTGGCCTATCCTGTTCCAGCTGATACAATTAAGTGCCCCTTTCCTTGTGCTTTGGGCCTGTATTATAGCTTAAATCACACTACTAATATTGTTGTCTCCATGAGACTCTTAGCTACTTGGTGGCACTCAGTTTTCTTTATCTCTCTCGAGTCTACTCATTCTATGGTACTGAATGTAGCGTTGACACCTGGTAAACATCTTTTGAATAAATGAGGACTTTCATGCCCTCATTTGACAGTGGAGCAGGGATGAAAAGACACAGCAAGATTAAGACAGAAAGATAAGAGCCGATATTGCCATTGGCCAAGATAGCCTGCCTGCCTTATGGGGGCCAATGGGTACCTTTGGCTTAGTGGCTACAAACTCCCTTCCATGGGCCTCATGAAACATTTGATGAAATGGCCACTCCCATGTTCCCTTAATCCACATCACATTCAACCTTTCCCTTATACCTTCTTCCAATTGCTCTCCTACAATTTCCAGAAGTTGCTTTTATTTCATTCACTAAACAGTTTATGAACTGAATTAAAATAAATGAGATGCAAATAAATTCCAGGCTTTCTCCCTCATTTTCAAATTACATTTTCAGTCCACTCAACCTGTTATAATCTCATAGTGATTTTCATTTAAGAGAGCTAAATGGATATGTGATTGTTGTTACAGGAACTAACACCAGACAATTAAATGTTGAGGTGTTGATAGATAAAGCTGTGTTTTGATTTGCATAAACACGATGCCAGCAAATCTAACCCTGGCAGAAATTCAGTTATAAGACTTGCGTGCCTAACTTGGGCTAATTACCACAAGTACCATTATAAAGATTTTTAATATTCGGATTGGGATTATAGCCACTTTAGTTTAGGGCCATATTTATCTTTATTTTGAAAACTTAGTCAAAATGCATAACTGATTTATCAGAGAAAAGGCACGATTACTACTTATAATCAACTTCTACAGTGTAGCATATCAAAAATCAATTAGACGGCCCTGAAATCCAGTCATTAAGGATTTAGCTACTAATCTTATTCCATTTTTGTCTTTAGGAAGATACTGTAGTTTGCAACTTTGCAGATACCAGCAGAGGAAGAAAAACATGGGAGACTGCTGATCACCTAATGTGGAGACTTGAACTTCAGCCAGACAAAGGTGGAATCTTGATATGGAGGGGGCTGAATCTGCAGAGAGGTCACCCGGTCTGGCTGGATTTCAATCCAGTTACACAGCAAAAGTTACGACCCAAGCTTTGCCAATACTCAGCCTTCTACTCTCAGGGATTGCCAGGCATTTGATAAACTCCTTGTTCCATTGTTTCCTGACTGCCTAGTGCTTGTCTTGTTCTGCAGTTATTTTTATTTATCAGTTTACTTATCTGCCCCTCTCTTTCCCATCTCCCCTCACCCTGGAGGTGAGGTGCAGGAAGTTAGGGGCTTCGCTTTACATACCATTAGGTGCATAGCACAGTGCCTGGCTCATAGTAGGTTCTCAATAAATATGTGCTGAATTTGATAAAGATTGGGATCCCCAGTATTCATTTCCCTTCCCCAGGGAAGGGTTTAGCATGATGGTAGGAACTGTTCCCTTTTGGTGGCAGAGAAGTGACTGGAGCAGAATCCACATGTGCTGAGATGACCCAGATGATCACAGATAAGCAGGCAGCTGTGTGACATACTGGCAAGTGAGCCAGACAGAAAGAGAGACCTGGGGTCAAGTCCTGGCATTGCCCTTTCTAGCCATTGTGTCCTTGGACAAGTAATGTAGTTTCCCTGAGTCTGTGTCTTTTTATCTGAAAAATGGAGTTAGTAATAATTATCTTCATGGGACTATTGAAAAAGTTATAATAAGATAACACAAGCAAAGCATTTAAAATAGGGTTTACATCATTGTAATCCTCAATAAATGTTATACATTGCTTTAAAAAAAGATGTCATGTGGGGCAAGTTGCCTGTACTGGGAAAACTAGGGTTGGCTAAAATTCCCCACTGAGGTTTATTGTTACTTCCTCTTGGGAAATCTTCCCTGAACATCTCAGGTGGAGTGACATCTCCTCTGGGATCCCATCAGACCCTGCATGTACCTCTGTCTTTTCACTTAACCTGTGATTGTCCTGTGTCTGCATATTTTATCAGACATGCAATTCCTTGAGTGCAAAGAAGATACTTTAAAATTTTTGTTCTTCCAGTACTTAGCAAATTACCCGGCACATAGTAGGTACAAACACCAATTCATTGGGCACGTTGACCAGACAGTGAAATTTGAGAAAGAAGATGGCAAGTGTGAAAAGAGGACCAAAGCTGTCTCTAGGTACAGCATAATGTAAATCCCCAGAGCAGGAAATGGCCGCCGTTTTCAGTACTAGGAAATGGAGAACGTTTTCCCCAAGGTATGAGTCCCAAAGGGAGATGGCGTCTACCTTCTGAGTGAAGAGTTTGCCTTTTCCAGGGAATAAAAAGAGTATTAGAGGCTTTGAAGCTGGGAAACTTTCTCAGCTCTGTGAGGAAAGGGTGTATCCCCGCCCACTCTGTGGTAACAGATCGGTTGGAACCACTTACCCGGAGCTTCCTGCCAAAGATGGTGACTTTGCCTTTAATCTGCTCCTTTCTTAGGCGCCACTCAATGGAGTTTAAGCCATTCTCCATAGGCAGGGAGATGTTGCAACGCCCAATGGTGGGGGTGATGGTGCCTGCCAGGACGTGGGGCTCGCTGTGGAAGCTGACACCCATCCCATTAGCATACATCACCCTCAGGGTACCGTTATTACAGAGCTGGTAGCTGTTCCGCACTTGATCTGGAAAAATGTAAGTGAGGGTGGGGATAGGGAAATAAATTATCCACTCTATTAGTCAGAAGAGAATAGAACCCTTATTTTTGTTAAATAGGTTTCCATGGTACTTTGCAGCCATCAGTCTAAGGCTGCCTTCAATTAGCACATATACCATGTGAAGGAAAGTAGCAGAGATACTACTGATCCATGGAAGAAAAACATAATATGTGGCACTCCAGAAATAATTATACCATGATGTTTCTTGTACTCACTGAAGACTATTGATAGCACGTTTAAACACTTAAAGATGTCTATTGCCTACACAATTTGTGTCAATCAAATTCCCAAACCTTAATATATATATTTTAGCTTATACAAAAAAAGAAAACATGAAAGACAAATGACTTTATTTTTTTCCCCCTTTGCCTGCTATCTAACCCCAGGTTGCGGGTCTAGCCACAGGTCAGATCCACCGCAAATCAAAGCCCAGGATTTTCCAAGAAAATTGAGAGAAGAATCAACCTTGCCCATCCTCGTGCTTTAACTGCTGACTGTGCCTGATACCACCTTCACTCAAGAGAGCTCTGAAGAAACTCACATACATGAGGGAGATGGAGCCAGTGGGTGCTGATAATGTGTTTATCTTCCCCAGTGGAAGCTACACGAATCAATCAGACTTCTGACCTTTTCCTTTATGGAAAAGTTACGGGAAGGAAATGTGAGTCAGAGACTCCCTTTACAGATACACTGCTTCCTGATTGTCTGGACAAAGGAGTGGCCTGGGCTGGCCTCTGGGATGTCAGCTTTTGCGGCAGTGAGCAAGGGTATACCTGTCACTCCTGTGACTCCCACCATCACGCAGGAGAGAATCTACATCATTAATCACTTGGCAGAGCAGAAATACAGTCATTGAAACAGGCTCTGCTGTGGGATAATAGTCCAGAAATGTCACCATTTATCTACTGAGAAGACACTTTTATCCTCTGACAACAGGCTAGCCCACCGACATTATATCTTAATTAAAAGAAAAATTAATAGGCACAATTCATTTTCTGGCCAGCCCAGTGCTTGCCCTGGACTGCAAAACATGTCTAATAGCAACAATAAGCACAGGGTGGTCAGAGACCTTTGAGATCCCAGTCTTGGAGAGGGATTGTTAAAGAGCTCCAGTCCCAGGGCAACAAACTCATCAAACAAATGCTTAAAAGAGAGAATCAGAATGGAAGAAGAAAATAGGAAATCTAGTTGTGGGCCAAGAGAATAAATGGCCTTTGAGAAGATTATGTGTACTGGGTTGGTGGGGAGACGTGGTGGTGGAAGGGTAAGAAGTAGGGAGAGAGTATGTGGGGAGGAAAATGGACATTTTCAGGTAACTACATAGACAGTTCAAATATCTAGACATTAGTTGAGTGTAGATGACATTCTGCTGTATCTGATTAAGCAATTTTCTATAAGATTGACTTCTTATTGAGTTAGTTTGCTGTGGACACTTGAATAAAATGGAAAGCTGAGGGGTGTGCTGGACCCCTGGAAGTCCTCCCAGGCTCACATGTTGGGCTTGGCTGGGTTCTGGGTCTGTGGGCGAGTTTGGGGGTAGGATGGTATGGGGGCAGGCTCACCTTGTACCACTGTGTAGGAGGCCTCTACTGAAGAGAGGTTGGTGATGACTGTGACATCATCATCACGATTGGAGTTCTCAATGTCAATGGTAATAGATTTCTCCATTTCCCGGTGCAGACTGGTCACCACCCCTGTGGGGCGCGTCACATTTGTCAGGCGGCCTTCATGGTCATAACTGGGGGGAGAGAAACACTGGTTGGCAGCAGTCACTGGGGCTGAAAGTGTTCCCAAGACTCATAGGGCCAGAGAAAGAGAGAGCTGGGAAGGTGGGTTGGCTGGGTGGCATATCTCACTGAGGCCCCTGGTCACAGTCAAAACCCCACTGTGCCCTGAGAAACAGCAGTGATGCTTTCTTCTACCCGCTAATATAACTGACTTCAGCTCGAGGAAGACATTTCACCTGGTCTCAGGCTTCCTCCAGTTACAGAGTACAGAGAACAGCCACCTGTGGGCTTCTCTTGCTTTTTTTTTGCGACAGAGTCTTGCTCTGTCCCAGGCTGGAGTGCAGTGGCACAATCTCTGCTCACTGCAACCTCTGCCTCCCGGGTTCAAGTGATTCTCCTGCCTGTCCCAGCCTCCAGAGTAGCTGGGATAACAGGCACGCACCACCATGCCTGGCTAATTTTTGTATTTTTAGTAGAGATGAGATTTTGCTATATTGGCCTGACCTCAGGTGAGGCACCCACCTTGACCTCCCAAAGTGATGGGATTATAGGCGTGAACCATGCACCTGGGCCCTCTCTTGCTTTTTAATTCATGTGTTCTACAAAGCCACCAAATTAATATTCCCCAAATATCAGTTTCACCATGTCAGCTCTCTGCTAAACAAACAACATTCTTTTCCCATTAGTTGCTCAATCAAATAAAAATCAGGCATTTGAGACCATCTATGCCCCGATTCTTCTACTGGGGTCAAACGTTGTCTCACTCGTCACCTCCTAGGCCTCTGGACAGTCAGCTTGTGCCAAATGCCACCTGCACATGTTGGCTCAGCATAGAAGGCCTGGCTGCATGGAACCTGATCTTAGGTCCCTCAACGATCAATGGCTCCACTTCCCAAGCAGCCTTCTTAGACAGTTTCCCAGTGACTCCCTGACCATCAGCTGTCCTCAATACCCGAGTCTAGGGACACTAGTGATCATGCCGTATTGTCTGCAAATGGCCTGACACCGGGGCCTCCTTCTTTATGTATGTGTCATCTGTCCTCTTTTCTCACATTGTGGAGTTTTCTCTCCCTTCAGCAAGAAGCCTTGTAGTTGGGACAGCCTTTCCCCATGTTGGAAGACCCACTGCACTCTGAGAGCTGGGCCCTTCTCACACCTAGGAAAAGAAAGCAGGCTCATTCCAAGGTCTGCATGTAGAGACCTTTGAGCTCTCCCAGATGAGTCTTGTTATTGGGGGAGGAAGGGGAGGAAGAAGGCAGAGCAATGAAGACATTTGCTTGGAGGGTAAAAAAGAAAGAAAAGTGGCTCGACCCATGGGGATTACTCCCTTTGGACTGAGGGGAGGGAAAAAGCTGGCAGGTTCTGAGGGATGGAAACTAAAGCTTGTGCAGCACGTGGTGATGGGGGATCCTCCTCTGAGGATCCCTGTGGGGAGAGCCTGTGAGCAGTGGAAAGGAGCACTGTGGCCTGTTTGACGTTGTAGTTTAGGGCTTAGGATTACAACAGCAAAGACAGAGGGCACTTAGGAAGTGTTTTTGGAATAAAGAAGCGCCGATCTGGCTCAGGATTTTGGGGATCTGAGTGATTTTGCTTCTGGGAAGAACTGGAAATGGTGAAGCTCTGCAGAAGTTTGAAAGCTGAGAGTGCAATCACATTAAGCTGGACACCCGGCTGGGTAAAGGTGCTGGGAGAGAGAGGAGCGAGATCTTGTAGCAGGAATCACTGCACGCTTAGGATCCACCCCTATCACTTGCCCAGGGCCCCAGGCAGCAGGTGGTGCAGACCATGCCTTCCCTGGAAAGCCCTGCTGTTGTAAAGAGGGGTGGGGACTCAGGTCTGCTAAGTCAACAGGGCTCCTCTGTGCCTTTTTTTTTTTTTTTTAAAGCAGGTGTTTATTTTTCCAAAAATTGCACCAAGGTAAAGCAAAGCTCTAGTTTATGAAGGTGCGTTGTTTAGGCGCTGGCAGTACTGCCCTCACTATGCGCTATTGGACAATAGCACAACCCCGAGAAAAGGGTGGTTCCCTCTGTGCTTTCTTATCTGGAATTAAAGTAATTTTCACCTTTCTTACCTGTCCAGGCAGGGGGACAAAGGTGCTATTTACAATAGTGACAAATTAGAACCACCTAGATGTTCCTTGATGGAGATTCGTGAAATAACTGATGATCTAGCCATAAAGTGGAAACCTACGAAGCTGTCAAGACTGACAACATGGCTTTCTGTTTATTGGCATGGACAAATCTACACACGTTGAGTGGAAGAGTGGAATACAAAATACATTCCCCTGACAGTAGCTTTTTTTTTTCAAGGAGGTGTAAAAAATGTCAGTATCTATAGGTAGAAGAAATTCTCTGAAAATATAGACATTTAAATGTTAATGGTGGTTTTGCTGTATGGAATTTTTACTAATCTTTATTTTCTTCTTTGTGTTTTCCCATCATTTAGAAATTACTTGTAATTGGCTGGGCATGGTGGCTCATGTCTGTGATCCCGGCACTTGGGAGGCTGAGGTTGGCAGATCATGAGGTCGAGAGATTGAGACCATCCTGGCCAACATAGTGAAATCCTGTCTCTACTAAAAATACAAAAATTAGCTGGGTGTGGTGGCGCACGCCTGTCGTCCCAGCTACTTGGGAGGCTGAGGCAGGAGAATCGCTTGAATCTGGGAGGTGGAGGTTGCAGTGAGCTGAGATGTGCCATTGCACTCTAGCCTGGGCAACAGAGCAAGACTCTGCCTCATAAAAAAAATTACTTGTAATCAATACTTTCACGTTTAATAAGCAGAAACAAAAAGTATTTAAAAATCAGAAATTAAAGCAATTCTAAGTATTTGGGTATGGGGTGTCTAGTGCAGTACTCAGTAACAGACAGCTCCTCCTCCTGCTGACAAGTACGTTCTCTGGGACCAGGGCAAGGATTTTAATTCCAATCCACTGTAGTTTGGGGACACTTACAACGCACAGGCTGCTGAGCTTCCTTCTGAGAGAAGTAGTAGGAAGTGAAGTTTCTACTTTCGGGAACAGAGCTTTAGGGTAGGGACTAGAATCTCATGGGCCAAAGGGAGAAAAACAGATTTTCTTTAACTTTTAAGAAGATTCGGCTGCCTCCAGCTCTACTTACTTCCCCCAAGGAGCATCTTCAGATGTAGGACTTTTTGCAAATAACTCTGCATGCAGGAGCGGGGCACTGAGCTCCAGCAATGGGATCTCAATGCCAACCCGATGGAACTGGCCCAGCCTTGGCTGGAGTGAGGCTGGAGGCTGCCTTTGAATTATGTAGTCAATAAATATTCATCAAGAGCCTATGATGTGCCAAACACAGTTCAAGGCACTGAAAATACGGCTGGGAAGAAAATAGGGCAAAATTCTTGCACTTGTGCTGGCTGAAGAGGGCAAAGCTAAACCAAGATAGGAAAGAGAGAGTATGTCAGATGGTGAGTAATAGGCACTGAGGACTAAAATAAAGAAGGGCGAGAGTGGAGAGAGAATAGGGAGTAGAGGGCGTCATTTTAAGTACAGTATTGTTTTTTTCAGGAATACAAGCTGATCTTCCCTATTCTGGGAACTTAGCAGGCATGGTAGGGTTTCCAAAGGGCATTCCCATATCAGCTCGATTTTTGCCCAGCTCTCCACTTCCCAGGGCAAAGAGGAGAGAGAAAGGCAACTTTTAAAGGGGCCCATTCCAGCTGGAATTGCATGCCAGCTTCTTCTGTAAAATAACACTTGAACCACACTCCATCGGAAGCCAACTTCCGTCTTTTATTTGACCTGACATTTGCTCCTTCCCCAGTTGCTGGATTGGGAGAAGGAGTTGAACATGACTAAAGAGGCTCTTTATCATTTCTCGCTTCTGGAGGGCCTGCCTTTAAGGGTGATGTGCTTTTCTGCCCCTCTGAGTCCCAAGTTTGTGGCAGACTCTGCTCCTGCAGGGGATGGGAGACCAGCAGGCAGCACTGGGAGGTGGGAAGACAGCAAGGAGAAATGCAAAATGAGTGTTAAAAAGACCTAATGTGGTCAGGTGCAGTGGCTCACACCTGTAATCCCAGCACTTTGGGAGGCCAAGGTGGGCGGATCACCTGAGGTCAGGAGTTCATGAGCAGCCTGACCAACATGGAGAAACCCCGTCTCTACTAAAAAAAATACAAAATTAGCTGGGCGTGGTGGCACATGCCTGTAATCCCAGCTACATAGGAGGCTGAGGCAGGAGAATTACTTGAACCTGGGAGGCGAAGGTTGTGGCGAGCTGAGATTATGCCATTGCACTGCAGCCTGGACAACGGAAGCAAAACTCCGTCTCAAATAAATAAATAAATAATAGACATAATGTTCAAACGGCATTCTTCAATTCTGCTTTTCCAAAATAAGCCTCTATCTGTCTGACTCTTATATCCACTATACAGTTAGTTGTGTGAAACCTGAGGGGTAGGAAGGAGGCAGAGGGGTGCTTCATAATCCCCCTCAAATCCCATTAGCATATACTGAGTTAAACTTCTATATGCAAACTGCTTTGCTAATTTCTAAAAATGTATTATCTCCATGGATTAGCACAGGGCTCCTGTTTAGTTTGCATATTTATCCCCATGTGACAGATGAGACATCGAGGCTCAGAGAAGTTAAATAAGTGTCCAAGGTCAACATGTAAGTGTGTGGCAGAGATGGCCTCCTCCTTGTCATCCTGATGCTAAGACCCAGGAGCTTTCTAGTATAAGACGCTGTCTTTTGGGGAAGGCTGTGAAAACCTGAGTTCCCTCAGGGATGTAACCAAATCAGGATGCTTCTTCTATCAAGACCCAATGGCCTGCATCTGGGGAAGTCTTAATTCCAAGGTTGGGCTTCCTGGAACTTTCTGGAACTGGCTGATCACAAAATGGGACCAGGAAGATTTGATAGTGTTATTTTTTCCCACCTTTCTCTCCTGCTTCCAGTCATCGATGGGCTGGCCTTACTGAGTTACATCTTCCCAAAAATTCAGGGACAGTTCCCATGTGGAGTCTGAAGGTGAAGTTACAAATTCTATTTATAGGCCTGCTATGTGACGCCAGTGTGCAGTGCAAAAAACGCTGGGCTTGGAGATCTGGATTCCAGTCCTGCTTCACCACTGACACCCTGTGTGGCCTCAGAGGTGTCACTTCACTTCTCTGAGCCTGAGTTTCTTTATCCATAAGATAGGAATAATCGAATCCATATTTAGACAGTCATTATGACAACGGAGCAGATAAATGACTTCTCTACCTCATGTTCTATGCAGAAAAAAAAGATATGGCCACTCTTCCCATCTACTGGGGGATTTGCACCCTGCCTCCTGTTAACAGAGTGGGAAGAGAGCTTCCCTCTCTTCCCTGTCTTCAATGGAGCTAAGGAAGCTCTCACTGAAGGACAGATTTCTTTCTTTCTTTTTCTTTCTTTCTTTCCTTCCTTCCTTCTTTTTCTTCTCCTTCCTTCCTTCCTTCCTTCCTTCCTTCCTTCCTTCCTTCTTTCCTTCTTTCCTTCTTTCTTCTTTTTCTTTCCTCTCTCCCTAAGAAAGCTATCATTGAAGGACAGATTGTTTTCTTTCTTTCTTTTCTTCTTTCTTTCTTTCCTTTCTCTTTCTCTCTTTCTTTCTGAGACAGAGTCTCACTCTGTCGCCCAGGCTGGGGTGCAGCCAGCTGTGCAATCTCAACTCATTGCAACCTTCGCCTCCCAAGTTCAAGTGATTTTCATGCCTTAGCCTCCTGAGTAGCTGAGACTACAGGTGTGCACCACCATACCTGGCTAACTTTTGTATTTTTAGTAGAGACGAGGTTTTTCCATGTTGGCCAAGCTGGTCTCAAACTGCTTGGCCTCAAGTGATTCTCCTGCCTTGGCCTCCCAAAATGCAGAGGTGACAGGCATGAGCCATCGCCCCCGGCCAGGACGGATTGTTTTCTAGTAGCCTCACAGCCTCCGTGCAGTCTTCTTCATCATACTTTCTCTAAAGTGTTGGCTAAGGCCATGCAGTGTTGGTCTTGACCGCACTGCCCTGAACAAAGGTGAAGTTGTGTCTGATTTTTAATTGGTTGTGTGTCTGCCAGTTGGCTTGTCATGTGCCAAAAGTGCCATAAAACAAAAAGAACTCACCATCTTTTCAAGTAGAAAAGAAAACCTTATACATTTGAACCCCACAATGGAGAATCTGTGATCATTAGATTTATCTACATTATGAAAAAAGGAGCAACTTATCAAGTTAAGATAAAAATCATTCAGTTTCAATGTACCTTCTGAACATTTTCAAACACATTTATGAATCGTGCCTATGTTTTCATTAAACTAGGGACACTTTCTGGAAAATCCTTTCCCTTTTAGAGTTCAGATCTGTGGATGCACTTGAACCCAAGCTTCGTTATGACAGTCTCCAAGTCAGGCCCAGTTCAGGCTGGCCTCCCTGAGAGGGAAGGTTTTTCGCCCTTCAGGAGAGCCAACAAATTATTTCTGAAATGCATTAGGTCTTTGGGTAAAACTGTCAGAAAGGAAGATGCAAAACCAGGAGGTGTTTGGGTGAGTGTATAGCTTCAACCTAACTCGGTGTGAGAGCCAAGGACGGCACTCAGGCGGTACCCTCAGGGGCAGAATCACTGGCTGGTGAAGTTTGATCCAAACCCCAGGGTCCAAAAGGGTATTAAGATGCTTCAGAAGTCTGAGAAAGAGTTGCCCAAAGAAAAGTCAGAACGGGGGAAAGCAATTTTTCTGCAATGCAGCAAATATCCAGCAGGTGGCAAGAGTTTCCTTTTACATTCTCCCAAGTCCACTGGCATACAAACAGGAAGTGAACATTGCTGGATTTAGGAATGATCAACAATGAGGTTTTCTGTTCTCCCTCTTGCCCCCTTTCTTTCTCTGTGCCAACTCTCCCAAACGTACTACATTCTCACCTAGCAGCAGCATCCAGACAGAAAGTAAGCAATGACTCCAAGTACATAGGAGTTAACACACTCTTTCATCAGCCAGGAGAGCCAGACATTTATAAATTCTGCTCCAGTCTCAGCCAGCCATTGGGAGAACCATGCCTAGTAAATTCCTTCAACCAGCATCCCACCAGTTAGTACCTACAGTAGCAGGGACTTTGACCAAGAACTGCCTGCAGCAGCTAGGAAAAACAGCTTTTTGCAAAACAAGCGGCGGGACTATTAACTATGAGATAATCACGAGGGGAAATATGACCAGCTCTAGCATCTCTTAATAAACCTAGAGCTTTATCTGCATTGATCTGCTTCTGCTAAAGAGGAAAGTCAGAGTTTATCTACCTGTTGGTGCAATCAAGTGTGTTGCTGGACATATTGGCAAATTACAGGAGCCCCACTGGGATCTTGCCTTTTAGGTTCTAATTTCTGCACCCATGGCAAACATGAATAATCAGCAAAGTTAATCAACACTTTATCTCCCAGGTGCTCTGCGTGTCCAATATCCTGAAATTTGAACAGCAGGCAGGCAACAGGAATTCCCAACTCTACTAGGGAGGATGCTCAATAGCAGAGACCCAATAGAGCAAGTCATTTAAGAGTATGGGAGAGGGGACATGAATATCTTTTTTTTTTTTTTTTGAGACGGAGTTTCGCTCTTGTTACCCAGGCTGGAGTGCAATGGCGCGATCTCGGCTCACTGCAACCTCCGCCTCCTGGGTTCAGGCAATTCTCCCGCCTCAGCCTCCTGAATAGCTGGTATTACAGGCACGCGCCACCATGCCCAGCTGATTTTTTGTATTTTTAGTAGAGATGGGGTTTCACCATGTTGACCAGGATGGTCTCAATCTGTTGACCTCGTGATCCACCCACCTTGGCCTCCCAAAGTGCTGGGATTACAGGCGTGAGCCACCGCGCCCGGCCGGGACATGAATATCTTGAGACCATAAGAAATCATTAAAGTTAGGAAGACAATGTAACAAAACAATTTAAAAAGCTACATGAATGGCCAGCACTGATGCCAGCTAGGGCAAGGGAAGGACTCTTCAGAGATGCTTTACAAACTCACTTACTCATAGAAAATCGTCCATCCTGTTTCATCGCTCTTGGTGGCCAGGAGCCCAGTGTTCCCATCATAGGTCATGAGGCCAAGCTCCAGGTTCTGTGTGGACACGACTTTGAGGCCTCCATTGGTGCCCACGGTGAGGGTGATGATCTGGTTGTCAGGCATGAGCAGATGACGGGGCATGCCACTGCTGTCCCGACGGATCTTCAGGGAATTTCCATTATTGTCAATCAATTCAGTGACATCATTGTCAGCGCTATATGTGAAATTGTACAAGTACTCCCCTGTCACCAGGCTCACAGTGTATTGGTGGATGCCATCAGCGTTGAAGACATATAACTCCTGATCCCCGGGGGATGCAGCCTCATACTGGTTGAAGGCATTAAGAATGGGCTTGTTCTTGCTGACCGCCCTGATCCGAATATTTCCAAGGTCTGCGATGTAGATGGTACCATCTGGAGCTACAGCTAAGGATGATGGGGAATTCAAGATGGCGTCAGTCGCATAGGCATCATCTCCTGAATAGCAGTTGCAATTGACATCGTTTTTGCAGTCACAGTCTGAGGCTGCCCCGGCTAAGAGGCAGATCTCCCCATTGGTTGTTACCTGGCGTAGACGGTTAATCTTCTTCTCATCCGTCTCAGTGATATAAAGGACCCCAGTGTGAGAAATAGCAATGGCACTGGCTGACTCGAGGGCAGAGTGAATGGCTAGTTTGCTGAGTGAGTAGTCAATGCCTGGAACCTGGCAGTGCATGGGGCGTCCCGCAATGATGCTGACTTGGTGGTTCTCGGTGATTCGAAGGATGACATTGTTCTCTAGAACATACAAGGAGTTATCCATGGGATTGACAGCAAGGTCTGTTGGCCACTCCAGACGAACCTGTGGATGATGTGGTATCAGGTTAAAGAACAGTCTTTAATATGTTCAACGTTTAACTGTAGGACACTTAGTTGTGTTATGTATCTATGAAAAAGGACAGCTTTTTAATAACACACTGTATTAGAAATGCTTTTCATTGAACTGCTCATTGCCCATGCTGAGTGGGTGTGATGGAGAAGAAGAGACAATGAAATACATAGTTCCTACCATGTCACCTGCCATGGCCAGAACAGGCCATCAGCTCTACCTGTGATGCTGCTTCTCAGCTCCAGATGGTTGGACCAGCATCAGAGCTGTCCTATGTGGTTGCACAGGTAGTTCACTGCCCGAGAGACCATGCCATCCAGCCCATTCTCTGCTCTCAAGTGGACACCTATGGAAGCTATGTTCATTTAGAGGTGGCACCTGTGTCTAATTCACAAAAAGGAGCCATGTGGCTTGGAAGGTGGCTGCTATCCAAGAGCAGCCGAAGTGCAGGCTTGCTGGCAAAGTACAACTTGAGTGTTTGCTTTAAAAAATAAACGGAACCAAACACATCTTTCCTCTGAGGAATTTGAAATAAAAATCTCAGTAGCAAGTTGTCAGTCTGTTGTGGAACTTGAGCTGAAATTTATGAGGTTGGCCAAGGGTTGAAAAGGCCATTATAGAAAGGCCGAACATACATTCCAGGCTGTCTGAGAACAAATGCTGTACATTTGAGTGAGCCTCTGTTCTCTGCCTCTGTAAGAGCCCAGACTAAACACATGCTTTGGGTGATATTGCAGAGGGCTCTGCTCTAGTTACTACTGCACAAAGTAAAGGTTTATATACTGAGGATGCAATTATTTCAGATTAACAGGGAAGTTCTGATTGACATATAACACTGTACAGTACATTCTCAACCTGCAATAATGATGGAGAAGAGAGGTAATCACACAGCAACTTCTACCCTGTAATCTGCCATGGCTGGAGTGTGTCAGCTGCTTTACTCTTCTCAACAGATTTTCCCTCTCTCTTACTCTATCTCTCTCTCTCATACCTATCTGACATTTTCAATTCCATCTTGCTGTTTAGCTCATCTTGGGCTTTCTCTAAACAACGCTGTGATCTGTATCCGTATCTCCCCCTCCTGTTCCACTTCCAACCCAAACAGGAAGCAGGTAAGAACCTCAGGCCACGAGGCAGGTGTTGCTTAGTGAAGAGAAATTAAGAGAGAGTCCCACCTGGGCTACATCCATGCTGGAATCACAGCTCAGCGGCCGGACAGCAGTGAGGTCATTGGAGCCCAGCAGGGTGGAGATGATTCCGTTCTGGTCGACCTTCCGGATCATGGTGGCATCGACAAAGTACATGAGCCCATTCTTGTCTACTGCAATACCTGAGCAAGACAAGCAGTGTGGATTTATCTCTTGGAAAGGGATAGGATTGTGGGGTGGAGGTGGGAGATGAGATGCCTTGCTGAGCACTCTCTGCTTAGACCAGAGACCTTACTGAGAACACTCAGAGCAGTGGTTCTCAGCCTTCTAAGGCAAGATCCTTTCTCATGGGCACGGTGCTGGGATTTGTATAACCCAGGGTGCTGGCTAAATCACCACCCTCGTCCCTGCAACTGAAGAAAACATGCTCCTTGGACTGCAAATGAACCAAGGCTGCAAATGAATGGAGCAGGAAATAACCTTGCATCTGCTCTCTTTAGAAAAGAAGCTATTTCCTAAGTTCATTACCCTAAACATGATTAGTAGTAAGTTACTTGAATATACTTCACAACTGACTGCAGCAGTAAGGTTGAGAAATGATGATTCTTGTAGTCACAAACTCCCAATTCAAGGTGTATGCTTCAGGAAGTATTCCCAGTTAAGTTTGACTCCAATCAGCACTTCCATGCCCCAGGGGGCACTGGGCCCTAGCATTCCTCTGTTGCAGCAGGGCTGGGAAGACACAAATATGGCTTCTATTTATTTTGTGTCTTTGCCCCTGTGCCCAAGTACAAGGCTTTGCCTCCTTAATCCATGCTGCCCCGCTGCTTTCACAGTAGCTAAAAATGCTAACAGGAATCAGACTTTCAGATGACTGCTCCTTTATGTTAAGTATTTTTAGTCCTTTTCAAATAGAGACCTATGGGTTCCCAGAACTCCTCTATCCTGGACCCCTGGAAATTATACCCATTCTTAATTACTACCATTTATTGGGCATTTACAGCATGAGAGGCACTGCACTTTAGACTTCATACACATTGCTGTCTACCACGAAGTGTGGGCGTGGCCAGAGGCCCCTCACTGGGCTTTGTTCTGCCTCCAGCCCACACAGCTGGCACTCTGGCCCTGGAGCCAGCATTTCCTCGGATGCTTTGTGACTGGCAGCAGTCAGAAACCTCCGGGCGCAATCCCCTTTACTTTCCATTTGGAGCATATGTGCATGATCAATTTTACTTCAAATAAATAAATACGGTTTTCTTTCTAAACACCCATCCACACACCAAAGCAATCTATCTGAGTTAAATGATTATAGGGAAAGCTATGTTTTGGACTGCTGGGCTTACTGCAGTTATGCTTTTTATTTTGAGACAAAGTCTCACTCTTTTCGCCCAGGCTGGAGTGCAGTGGCTCGATCTCAGCTCACTGCAACTTCCATCTCCTAGGTTCAAGCAATTCTCCTGCCTCAGCCTCCCTAGTATCTGGGATTACAGGTGCACTCCACCATGCCCAGCTAATTTTTTGCATTTTTAGTAGAGATGAAGTTTCACCATGCTGGCCAGGTTGGTCTCGAACTCTGGACCTTGTGATCCACCTGCCTTGGCCTCCCAAAGTGCTGGTATTACAGACATGAGCCACTGCACCCAGCCATTCAGTTCTTATAAGAAGAAAGCCAAGCTTGTGGCAAAGCTTTATCTGGGGTAGGGGACTCTTCCTTGATGGCCTTTACCTCTTGGGCTCATCAGGGTTGCATCTATGGCCTTCCCTCCATCCCCACAGCGGGCTTCATCAAAGGGTAAACACTGCTCTCCAGTCCCTGCCACGACTTCCGAATTCCCAGCCAGGTCTTTGGCTCCACTCAGAGACTTGACACGGTAGATTCTCCGGCTGTTGGTGTCGGACACGTAGAGCGAGCCGGACACGGGGTCCACTGCCAAGTAGTACTTGTGTGCCGGGTTGTTGCTTTAGTAGGAGAAGCACAAAGAGAAATGAGGAGGGGGCTATGGAGCTGGCCTCCTGGATCAAAGGAATGACAAAATCCTGGCAAGACGCTTAACTCCTCTAGTGTCTTTCCACTTTAGTGAACTGGAAAGAATCTAACATCAAGCTTGGTGTTCTAACACATCATGGTTCTTAGCTACTTCTAATTGGAATTAGGCTCCTCATGCTATCAGAGAATCCATTTCCCACCATGCTAAACAACTGTTGCTTCATTTAGCCAGTAAAAGAGCTCCCACTCTGATCCTGTTTTTTTTTTTTTATTATTCTTACTATTTTTTGAGACGGAGTCTCACACTGTTGCCGGGCTGGATGGAGTCCAGTGGCGCAAACTCAGCTCATTGTAACCTCTGCCTCCCAGGTTCAAACGATTCTCCTGCCTCAGCCTCTCAAGTAGCTGGGATTACAGGCACCCACCACCACGCCCAGCTAATTTTTTGTATTTTTAGTAGAGACAGGTTTCACTATGTTGGCCAGGCTGGTCTCGAACTCCTGACCTTGTGATTGGCCTGCTTCCCAAAGTGCTGGGATTACAAGTGTGAGCTATTGCGCCCGGTATGATGCTGTTTTTGTAAGCAGGATAGTTATTCAAAACCAACTACAGTCCATGTGTGTGCCAGACTCCTTAATTTCCCCTTAAGGGCTTAGTGTATTCTCAAATAGGATAGAGGAACACTTCCATGTGACAATGTTCTCATTTTAACCTATGCCTCCAGGGCACTAGAGCATTAACACTAGGGCACCCTGGAGTTTTCCTCATTTTATCATGGGAAGCACCCTAGAACCGTCCCCAGTCTCCAGGCCTAGAGCTTCTTTATTGTTCTTCAGTGTGAATATGGCTAAAGTTGGCATTTAGCGTAAAGAAATGTGGGTATCTTGCTGATATTGTGCTGGAATCTGAATTACTGAGAGAGGAGATGCATTTTTCCAATCTGGGTAGCAGTGAGGTCACAGGCATGAGTCAGGGTCTGCCAGGGCCCTAGGCCACACTCTGGGATTAATACCTCTGAGTGTATGTGAAGTGTATTAGGAAGTCGTGAACCGCCAAGGCCTGGGCTGCTTCCTCTGCCATGTGCCTAGTTGCCCTTTGTGCGGTTAACTAGGACAGAGTTAGACTTGTAGAAGTGGCTCAGGGCTAAAACACAGGAAACTCTAAACTCGATTCTCACCCAGATGCTGGTGACTCTGGGTAAGTCATTTGGCTGTGTCAGGTCTTAGCTTTTTTGCGGGGGACCAGGGGGATTTAACAAATCATACTGGATATTGCTAATGTTCCTTCTGGCTCAAAACCCTGCAGTTCTCTCCTTTGCAGTGTCTGTACTGGTTGGAGGTTGGGACCAGAATAAGTGCTTATGTTATTCCTTATACTAGTTATTACAATTACCACTTCTAGGATGCAAGCAGTAGTTGCCTCTCTGCCTCAGTGTGGTAGACTAGGTTTTGAAATTAGTGGAGGCTCTTTTTTACCCCCTGCTATTTTAGTTTTCTTAGGGACAGGGTCTCACTGGAGTGCAGTGGCATAATTCTAGCTCACTGCAGCCTGAAATTCCTTGGCTCAAGTGATTCTTCCGCCTCAGCCTCCTGAGTATGTGAAACTACAGGTGCATGCCACCATGCCTGGCTAATCAAAAACTTTTTTTTTTTTTTTATATAGAGATGAGGTCTCACTATGTTCTCCAGGCTGATCTCAAACTCCTGGCCTCAAGAGATCCTCCTGCCTTGGCTTCCCTAAGTGCTGGGATTATAGGTATAAAGCACGAAACCAGCCTTTTCCTGTTACTTTTCAATTGTACTTTGGGGTGATGGGAGGACGGGGCTGGGAGAGGCGGAGGGAAGGTGAGAGAGATGACAGTGTGGGATGCATTTGTCCTGTTGACATTAGCTAGTAAATAACTAATTAAAACACCACCATTTGGGTTCTTCTCTGATTTAAGAAAAAAAAAAAAAAGAACTAGGAAGCTATTTTTAAACTGTGCTGAGTTGAGACCATCTTTCATTCCAGTTTCTCTTCAGGTTGCTATTAAGACATACCACTGAACTAGAAGTCAAAGTTTTTCTGAAATTCCAGCCCATATAACTAAAGCGTAGACTACCTGGATTCCATTCAGGAATGGAATTTCCTTTCCTCTTTTCTTCTTCTTTTTTGGCTATTAAGTCATTAGAGACCATCCATAAATGCAAAACAAATTAGGGCAGAAAGGGAAAAATTCATGCCATTTTTTAATTAGATGCCGCACTCTGTTACTGAATGAACAGTAGCTGGCGTGATCAACAGAAGGATCAAGGCATTGCACATCTGTGCCTATCTATGAGAGAGATAATTAATTTTGGACTTTCTAGGGAGCCTGATTCAAGGAGGCTTTTCAAAAGCTCTGGCAGAAGAGCAGGCAGTGGAGGGTGTGAGGTCAGTTCTTGCTTGGGGATACCATTCTTCCCCACGTTCTCACATCTATTTCCACCAAGATGCTTGAAGAGAAACTCAGGTCAGAGGGACAGCCATGCCTCCACACCTGTGGCTGTGGCAAAGACCAAATGAGGTTGGTGAATTTCCCAGAAAAATGTCCCTCCAGGGCATTTCTACTTATTTCTAAAATTTGGCTCAAGTGGGGTGCCTATGACAGACCAATTTTGGGGTGCTTGAGAAGAAGGCAGAGGACGTTCTCAAGGCATGGCTTTCTACTGACTGTTACGATCTTGGGCAATTTGACTTTATTGTCTAATTTTGACCTAATATCATGAAGGAGAGCTGTCCATGTTTCATTTCAAAAAGTGAGCAGAAGCATTCCGTTGAGTAGTGGTACAGATCGCTTTGTTTTTTCTCTTCTTCTGAATAAAAATAAGGCCACTTTTCTTTAAGAAAGCTCAGGCTACTTCCGTTTCAGTGCAGTTCATGTGTGAATGCACGTGTATGTGTTTTACACTTTATCTGTGAATTGTACCAGTATGGTTTTAAATGATAACCTTGGATCACTGTAATGACCAGGGCGGTTTCGACAAAGAAAACTTAGTCTCCGCCCTTCATACTATTAAAAAGTGATTTTACTCCATGAAAATTCTCAATGCATCTGACTGTTGGACTCATTCTGACTAGCAGATTGGCAATTAACTTTTTTTTTTTTTTAAGATGACCATATATCCAGGGGAAAAAATCATTAATGAGTTGAAAATGAGTTTTTAACCCGTTTCCAGTTCATTAAAGCTTTTGTGAACCCAGTCCAGCATTTACAAAAGCCAGGAGTTTGCCTCAACTGTTTAGCTCAATTATGGACTGCACTGAGCAGTCGGGATAAAAGTTCGCTGAGGGTTCATTATCTTGCACTTGAATCTCCCGGAAATTCTAATTACTGTCAGCTTATTTGGTCTCTTTTTGACTGCATTTCATAATTGCTAAAGCTTATCATATCCACAACACACAATTAGCACATAAAAAAGTTACTATATTTGGTACATAAAAATATACAACATTACACAAGAAGCACAAAACGAAAAAAAGCAAACACAAGGAAGCAAACGAACCATATCAAATTATATGGGAAAGAGTTCTTCATCTTACCTATGTTTAAACTCTTTATTTCTTTATAGAAAGAAAACAGAAAGGAAAAAAGAACAAACAGTTAGCGGAAGAATTGATGATAAAGCAAACATAACATTTTTGTTTCTTGTATCAAGGGTCCCAAAAAAGGAAGTTTGTTTTTTTTTTTCTTTTTTCCCCTGTAACTGACAACTCCTGGCTCAATAGCTTAAGAAGTGCCCCTGATTTTGGACTCCTCCCAGACATTGGACAATCTGGACAAGAAAGCTTGAATTCTCTCATCAGCAATGTGCCTGTCACAACAGGTGGCAACGGGTGAAATAGGCCTTCTGACGAAGGAAGGGATGACAAACAGGTTGTATCTTGGGTGCCAACATCTGTTGACCACTAATGGCTACCGGGAGTGTAATGGTAGAAGGATTTTGGAGCCAAATTTAATATCAGTTATAAAGAGTACCATGACTCACTTGTAATGTCCACACTGAATGTGGGAGGGAGGATGGTGACACCTGTACCACCTATTTGCCATTGGTGCATTTCAGGGTAGAATGAGTACCACCCAAGAGGGAGACCCTGCTCGCAGCCTATGGCGGTTGGGCAAAGGCTGTTGAACCCTGACAGTCTTAACCACTCCCTTTCCCTGCTTCATGCCACCTTTACTGTCCCCTTTTCACTTGGGGTGGGACCCCAAATATGCATTCTTTCTAAAAGGTAATGTCCAATATTGCAATAATGTCCATTTATACGTAATAACATCCTCTTGGAATTGGAGTCAAAGATTCCAGTTATCATTTCTTATCAGAGAACTAGTAACAATTTTGTTGTTGTTTTAAGAGAAGAAATACATTCAATTTCAATAGGAAAGTGGCTGAAAGTTAATGTGCCAGAGACGAGGTGACACTACGGTCTCAAGTAAAGAGAACGACTCCCATTCTTGAGGCTTCTAGGCCAAGGTGGAAGAAACCCCTGACCCCTCTTTCCCTTTCAGCTGAGGAGCAGGGCTTCAGGGAAGGGACAGAGAGAGTTTAATACCCTGATTTCTGTTCAGGTGAGCTCAGTCCTCTGCCGGGGGCCATCATTAATGGTGGGTTTGCACAGGGATTACATTTTTATATTTTATTCCAATGTGTTAGTTTTTGCAAAAAAAAAAAAAAGTTAATTAAATGATGCTGATAACTCCTGAGCTCTGACTGACATAGCGCAATTTAAGATTCATTCTGCAAAGCCTGGTGTGTCAGGGTGGCAGCCGGGAATTCTCGCGTCTATTTTATATTGCTTAATGAAAGTGAAATGTTATCTGCCACCAGTGGTAGTCGTATTTGGCTCTTAATTATTGCAATATCAATTTCACTTTTTAAAGTCAAGATTTTGTAAAAATACTGGATGGGATTTGGGTCTGCAGACCTGACCTACTTCTTTCCTAAGAACATCTGCTTTCAGTTGATTAATAGAAGATCTATGTTGGGGAGAGGAGAAGGGCAGGGGTGAAGGCTCAAGTCGTTGGAAAAGTGTAGAGCCTGAATGATCATATGAATAGGAGCTTTGGAGAAAGGCTGAGGTCACTGCTATTCTAGTCCAGGATCACAGCAGGCTGGGTGCTTAGCAGGCAACAAACCAGAATAACACATCATGGAGTCAGTCTAGGTAGTTGCATACAGATGTCCTACTTACAAGGGACAGGCCTAGGCTTTGTGTGCATAGTCTTAATATCACAGACTCCTTAGGTGAGCCCTTCGAGGAAAAAGCAGTATTTCAGATTGAAGAATTGAGATAGATTAGCTCTTCTTCACACTGCAGAGTCTCAATGACGTCTCTGTGAAGCCTTCAGGGTCTCTTGTGGCATTCTCAGCCTGTCTCTCAGAGCTGCCGTCATGCTGTCTGGTGACTTTTGTTTTTGTGTGCCTGTCCCCCTCACTTCTTTGTGAATAGGACATGACTCACTCATCTCTGAATTGCAGATACTTAGTAGAAAGCCCAGGAGAGAGTTAGGGCTGGAAAAATGGGTTCTTGAGTGAAGGAAGCAAGGAATGAGGCCACTTCCCTTAGTGCTGGGCAGACCCTACCTTGGACTAACTCCAATCTCTCATGTTCTGCTCAGAATTACAAAGTTACAATCAGCGGAGGCTGTTGCATTTTCTCATTCCAGCTCTCTCTGTGCCACATTTTCCCCTCAAGGAGGGTGAACTTGGAGTAGCCACAGGGTTGTTCTGTTGTTGTTCTAACTAAAGAAAAGTTGACTTGGGGTACATTTGGTTTAGTTTCAGGGGGATGAGCTCATGTAGCTGGTAGCCCCTTTAGCACCCAGTTAAATGGTTGCTAGCCATTCTTGAATAGGAATGTCTTCCAGGAATGCTTTTGCCCTACCATGTTGATTTGTCTAGCATTATTGCAGAGAGTAAAAGGCCCCATGTAGAATTCATATTTCACTAATGCAAAGACATCAGTGACAAACTCGTTAATGAGCATCAATTCCAAGACTACTTAGATTATTCACTCCACAGGAAAACTTGAAATGCCCAGAGATATTACAAAGGAAACTTGATAAAGATTTCCCCAAATTTGATAACTCTAGTGATTTGCACACCACCAATCATCAATTATAAACACAAAAGAAAGTTTTCTGATTCATCAATAATCTGAAACAAATTTTGATCAGCCCTGTTAGAGGAAAGACTGAAAATCCCTCTCTTCTTTCTATAGATAATGAAATCACAAAATAACTGATATTAAAAGATGATCAAAGATATGCAGCCAAAAAGTATAGAAAAACATGTATCATGGAAGTGTTACAGGAGTAAATTAATAAAAAATATTCGGTTCTTTGCCTAGATTTTGTGATGTTTGTGATATAATTGGCTTTTCTAAACTTTGTAATTGTTTTGACTTCTTTTCTTCTCCTAAATATACCATTTCATTTCTCATTTCATATTTACAATTATCTTATTTTTTTCTTGGAGAGAGCCTCTGAAATTGTACTAGTGTTAGACTTCATGAAATTTGGGTTCTACCTTTGGTAAAAAGACTTTGAAAATAGTTCCAGGCAGTGTCCAACATTTTTACTTTTATTCTGGATTGAGTACTTCATGACTATTCTTTGCTGACCCCCATTTTCATAGCCTCACCACACAGGAAAAGCATTTCCGTTCTTTGAATGGAAGCACAGAGTCCTCCCTAACAGTCTACCTTGTCATCAAGCAGGGTCTGTCCTGGTTGAAACTCTCAGACAGAACTTGTCCTTGGTGATGCTTCCTTCCAGTGTCTGCTGGCTTTGCCCACCTTCCCAGGCTCCCATGCCCCCCCGCCCGCGACCACAGTACTAACATATCTGGGTTGGAGGTTTCCCTTCTCTGAAGGTCTTCCCTAATGAATGATGCCCTTAACTCCATGCTGAAAGCACCACCAGAATGTCAGCATGGAGAAGTGGTTTAGTTGGAAAGAAGCATGTTTACATTATAATATTATTTTATGTTTAAAGAATAAAAAATGAGAATTTTAAAAATTATGGAAGGTGTGAGATTCTTACATTTATTAAAAGGAGCCAAGTTAAGAAAAGGTAGAGAGATACTGTTCCATCCTGTATAATTTACTGCCTTATATTGAGGTCGAATTCCTAAGATGTTCTCAAACTGGGAAGGGAGGAAAGATGTTTCTATGAGAGAAATTCCCTCTATGATGTTAGTGACTGACAAATTTACTCTGTTCCAGAGGGCTTAGGTCTTCCAAAGACCATTTCGAAAGGGTGGTGGGAAATGGACTAGTAAAGATGGGATATCAGGCTTTTATGGGAAAGGAGTATGGAGAATGCCTAAATGTCTGCCTAATCAGAGCACACAGGTGATAGCCATTTTACCTAAGAGAAGGCTCTTTGCAGCTTCAGAAGTTATTTAAGTGTATAGAACTCGTCCCTGAGCGTTTTGGAGAGACAAAGGAAGGAGGAAGGGGGAAGGATACTGAGAGAACCATGGAAACATTTCAATAGGATCCCAATTCAGAGGCTCAGCTCTGGGGTGGGTAAGCAACATAGGGATGGGCACTGACTCCCGAAATTGAATCATTCAGCTGCCAACTCACAATGGAGAAAAGACATAAGCAAGACAGGTCTCTTCCTCCCCCTCCTTGCCTCTGCTGGTTGCTGTTTTGAAGAGAGGGGATTGACAGCCCTTTGTTTTCAGGTATGTAGTGGGAAGAAAAGAAGAATCAAACCAGTGTTCTTGTAAAAGCTTAACTTCTAATCGGCTCTGGGTACCTGGCTGATGAAAGTAAGAACAAGTCTAAAGGCAGTTAAAAAAAAAAAAATCACACAGCTGTCGAAGGAAGCTGGGAGCCATATCCACCCTCAAGCTGTCCTAATGTCACCATGAGGGCATGGCATGACTGCTCTGATTGGGCCCTTAGCTTGTAACCCTGACCTTGTGGCCTCTACAACTGGAGAGATGTGGAATCAGGGACCAACTCCAGCAAGAGGGAGGAGACAGATCTGTGTTTTCTTTAATTTAGCAACCTATTTTGAGTACCCAGTGGGGGCCAGGACCTCCTTTAGGCATTAAGGGACAAAGATGAACAGGGGTCTGCCCTGCAGAAGTTCACATGCTCAGACCCTAAAGACTTACAGGGCAGTAACTGGACAACAAGACATTCAGTGCTGTCAACTCTAATGAAAGATCAGAGAGTGAAGTGACTCGGAGGTGGGTGAGAATGACTTCTGGTGGGAAGACCAGGGTGCATGGAAGAGAGGGCCCTCACGCTGAGCCTTGCAGGTGGACGTGACGTGGTAGATTAAATAGGGAAGGTATTTTAAGCAGAGCAAGCCGTATGAGTGAAGGTTTGGAGGTGGGACGGTACCAGGTGAAGGCTGACTGGCCTCTGAGCAGGAAGAACAGTGACAAAGGAGGAAGGGCCTGATGTGGAAGATTACAAAGGCCAGATGAAATACTCTAGCCTTTTTTCCTAGAGGCAATGGCAAAGTGCAGTGCTACCTCTACCCTGCCCTGTCTCCTCCCTTGGCTCTCTGTTGCCCTCAGGGTGCCTGAGAAAGGGAGGCTTTCCTAGGATTAAGAAAACAAACAAACAAACAAACAGAACATCTTGAGAAAGGAATCTGTATGGATGGGAAAGTCTAGGAAAAGTGATTTGTCTGATTGACAGTTTGGGAGCATGAGGGGTACTTGACCTTTTCCCACGTGCATTCTTCTTGCTCTCATTGTTCACCCTCTGGTTACCACACCCCCTCCTCCACCCCAGGCCCCGCCTCTATATCTCCATGATGGTTGACCTTGGGCCCTTCAGCTCAGCTTGAACGTCACTGACTTCCCCAGGTGCCACCTCTCATACCCGCGTGGGTGTTTTCTGAGCCTGTGTTTCATCCCCTTCTGTACCTCAGAGCCCAGCACATGCCTGGCTCACCTCCATGCTCAATAAATGCCCACTGGATCACTGAGGCTGCAACCTCCTCAGGGTGAAGCTCTTGTTTTTTCTTCTCTTTGTACTCCTCTCAGTGCCTGGCACATTCTCAGCTCCCAAGAATGTTCAGCAGCAGCTGCTGGGGGCAGGTCACTGATACCTCTCCCAGCCGGGGCCTCAGAGACTCTCAAATGCAAGGGCAACCTGCAGCTCCTTCTAGGAGAGAGGCTGAGGCTGCTTCAGAAGAAGCCACCATCCACTCAGTTGGCAGGCCAAATCCTAGGCAGGCCCTTGATTAGTTTCTGTCTTTGTTTCTTACACCTGATCCAACAGCAAATTTTATCAGATTTTCCTCAAACATATATCCTAATTAGAGCCCTCCCCTCTCTTCTGCTTCCATCCTGGTTCAAATCACCATCGCCCCAATCCTGGACAATCACTGCGGCCTCCCGAAGGGTTTTCCTGCCTCCACTCCCATGGTCCTACAGTCTACTCTACACACAATAGCCAGAGTCACCTTTAAAAAATGCAAATCGGATCATATCAATTCCACCCCATTTCCTACTTCAACCTGCATTGCTTGTTCATTGCAATACAATGTACACCTAAGTGGTTAGTGAGACTCTGACGCATTGGTCCCCTACCCATTCTCTGAACTTCTCTGAGGGACCCTTCCCTGAGCTCACCACCCTCCAGCCATGGTGGGCTTCTATCAGTCCTTAAATAAGCCAGGCTATTGGCTAGAATTAGGGCTTTTGAACAACTTCTCTCTGCCTGGGTGCTTTTCCCCAGATCTCACTGCTGACGTCTATCACTCAGGTCCCAGCCAAACATCACCTAGTACGAGAGGTTTCTTCAACTAATACGTCTTACATAACCTTCTCATCCATGTGCCCTCCCTGCCCCCAGTTCCTGTTTCCTACTCTGTTATATTTACCCTAAAGCAATTAAGGACACTGGAAATTATTTATTTATTTATTTTAGCAATAATTTAAGTGAGAGGAAATTATTCTTTTGTATTTGCCCACATGATTTAGTCTGTGGCTCCTCATCAGACCACCAACATAATGACATACTTTGTTCGACCCTACTTTTTTTTTCTAGCCAGAAAGCTCCTGGCACATGGTATGTATTCACCAAATATTTGTTGAATGAAAATTTCCCCCTTTCTTATAGATCTTATTTCTCTCTCTAATTTCAGACCTCCTCTGAGTTGAGGCTCTGAAATAAACTTTCCTGGTAAGAGCAGGTCTAAGAGCTTTTAGGGGTCAGTTTTTTTCCCAGCACAGAGGGGTATGGCCTTCAGACTTAGTAGCAAGCAATGGGCAGGAGGAATCTACCTAGGCTGGCCGAAATTACACAGCAAAGCCTACACATAAAGGAAGTGCTATCCTAGTGAATGTGCAAAGATCCAGAGAATTTATAGAGGTCTAGCAGATAGAGGTGCTTAATACAACATTGTGAATTAGCAGATGAACATCAGTTGGTCTCAAACTTTGAGTGTGTCTACAGAGCTTCCTAAAAATTAAAGATGCCTTGGTTTTTCTCCAGTCTGGAGACTAAAAATCTTGTCTGTAAGTCAGTTCTTGACTAGTGTATCAAATCTGTATATGGTGTTTCATAGATACACAAACCATTTTCCCACCTCCTTATTTGACACTGGGCCTAGGTTTTGGATCACAAAGACTATGTCTTCTCTGGAGAACCCCCAATGCTGCCCCAGTTACCCAATCAAACTCAGGAGTCTTGGGGACAAGAAAGCAACATAAGGTTGCCTGTGTGGCCATTTACCGTAACTCCAAGATGCTGGTTACATTTCGAGAGGGAAAGATGCGTCGGATGTAATTGAAGTCACCCACATAGAGGCTCCCATCGATTCCAACAGCCAGAGCCACTGGGGCCAGAAGCTTGTTGCCTTCGGCAAGGCCGTTGCAGCTGGGACAGGAAATGCTGCGGCGGCGACCGTTGCCCATGATGCTGGTGATGATGGCAGGCTGCTGGGTCAGGAACTGGTTTTCCCCAGTGCCCTTGTGTAGGATTCCTGCCGGGGATGGAGAATGGGAGGGGTTATCGAAGCCCTTTGGTGAAGACACATGTATTGGCCAACTGGGAGGGAGGGGAAGAGAAAAATTAGGAAGCTTCAATGTTTGGGGAGCTCCCCAACTTCTTCACAATGTGGAGAGAGCTGCAGTGGGAGAGGTAGACCCCAGATGCTGTGGCATTGGGTAAAATGCCATTTGGGGGTATAACTGAAGAAGCCTGTAATCCCAACTTCCTGGTAGGCTGAGGCGAGAGGATTGCTTGAGCCTGGGAAGTTGAGGCTGCAGTGAGTTATGATGGCACCCTACATCCTGGATGACAGAGCGAGACCCTGTCTCTATTAAAAGAAGTCATAAATAAAAGGAGAAGGTAGGAAAATCTATGCATATTTTGAGCACTTGATGAAAAAATGACCGAGGGAAGGGGAGGTGTGACCACTTAAATGCTGAGGCTAGAGACAAGATACCAGAGAAGTGGCAAGGCTGTATTTGGGAAAGATGTGTTCACGTACCACTTTTAACATTGAGGATGTGGTGTTTGTCCAGGGACCAGCCACCCAGGTTGGAGGGGTCCAGCTCGAATCCCTGAAGGAGGGCCGTCCTTTTCTCCCAGAGAATTAGACTGGGGCAGGTCTCATATTCAAACCCGACAGACACTGAAAGATAAAAGGGGTGGGGCAGAGTGAGAGAAAAGAGAGTTTACTTGATTACTCCAGAGCTCTCTAGCAAGAATGAGAAGCAGGTGTTCACAGTAATCCAGATTCTCTTCCAAAAACTCACTCAGAGGCAGGCTGATTGCTTTTCTCCTTGTTATTCTACAATATTAAATTCAGATTTTTAGCTGAACTCAACCTTGAAACTTTACACAGCGGTACTCTGTGGGGATGGAAAGACCTTTCCAATGAACGTCTAGCTTTCAAAAATGACCCCAGTGACATGGAGGGAGGAAAGGAATCATTTGAAAACCTGACACAATTCCCCTTTAGAGATGGACAGGAGACTGTTTCTCTCAGCCTGCTGTTCACGGCATGCATTTATTATATTTCGTGTTATTTATTTCCATTTACTAGGATAAAGCCCTTTGGGATCATACTGGCTCATTGACATGGAGATTCTGGGAGCAATAGCTTGTGTAAATTAAGGCACTTGGTGTGTTCACTCAGGATTCCAGAAAGTGCCCGGAGAGGCAGGCACCAGCAGGGGCACGGCCTGCCAGTTACATGGGGATTCAACGGGGAACAGAATCTGAAAGCTGTTTGTAAAAATCCTGCATTTGCCACATGGATAAATGGGAGAGAGAGGTGGAAATGAAGGACATTAGTCCTAGCTTGGCTCCAGGCTCACACATCCTTGGGGCTCCATTTTCCCCACGTGTAAAATGGGTTAAGTGAAGACTCAATTTCTCAGAGAGATGTGTTAAGGAGAGATGGGATGAAGCACTGAGATGCCATACATTTTTAATTGGAATGCTGCTCTAGAAATATGAGGCATTGTTATTATTGCCGTTCCTACTGCATTAAACTCTTAACTATGTGTGTCACCTTTGGGGATTCTCTGTAGCTTTAAAACATTCCTGAGATATAGAAGTGTCAATATGAATGGAGGATGCATTTTTGTCCTTAAAAAACCCTATATATTTCCTAGCTTGTCCTCTGAAAATGCCAAGAAACAAAGGCCAAATGACCAGCCCCAGCAGCAAAGAGAATTGCTAGTGCCTGGCTTGATATATTATTTCTCATTAAAAGGAATCAGGGCTTCTTGAAGAAATGGCTAGAGCAAGAAATGAACACAATGACACCAGCCTACTTTATCATACCGGAAAGCAAGGAAGGAATAAAAATCTATTAGGGTCATGTCAAAAGGATCTGGGAGTGAGCTTGAAAAGGTGTCCACCGACCAAAGATGGGGCCATTTGGTCATTAGTAAGGATAATAACTTCAATGGACTGAAACAAACTGGATGTATTTCAGTCCGTGAGTTCATACTGGTATTTAAGAAACATTAATTTGCCACCACTGGATGATGAATCAACTCATCATATTGAAAACTAGTAAATAAAGGGAAATAATCAAGCATTTATCTTTTCTTTCTTATTTGAACCATACTTGAAATAACCAAATAGTTAAGGAAAAAGGATCTCTATATAAAAGTATTTCAGCTAATAGATGAAGAAGGAAGTATAGAATTAAAAGACCATTTTGCAATCCCTAATTATTGGGTGGAGTAGGCAATGAGCATCAATGGCTACTGAAATCATTAAAAAATACACAACTTGACTTTAGGCACCTCTTGATGAAAGGACCTAGCCCCACCTATCAAGTTGTTCTGCCAAAACAAAGAATTAAAAAAAAAAAATCAAACCTGAACCCGAGAAAGCTTCAAAATTCAACTGTCAATGATCAGGAGGCAGGGAACACAGGAACAGGCCAAGATAAGGAAAGATTAAAGAAATTGAAAAGCAAGAGAAAGAGAAATCAACCAATTGCAAAAGGTGGATCTTAACGTGATCTTGAAACAAAGTATCAGTAGTTTATGGTATTTGTCAGGCAACTGAAATATTGAACGATGATGGGCTATGTGATGATATTAAGAAATTATTGTGGTTTTTTTTTTTGGCATGATAATGATATCATTTTTACGTTTTAAAAGATACTTTCCTAAATGTTACAGATGAAATGGTGTGATGTCTAGGACTTGCTTCAGAAAAATATGGGATAAAGGGGAGTGGACAGGGGTGTGAAAAAACAGGCCTCATTGTTGATAATGGTAAGAGCTGGAGTATATGGAAGTGCATTACAATATTTAGTCTACTTTTTGACATTGACTGTCATTTTGATATTAGCTAAAGCCAGATAATATATATATGTGTTACAGACACATAGATATATTTCATTAGATTGTGTTGTGTATTAAATGCACTAGATACTCTGAGAACTTCTTACTACCTTAAGTTAACTCCACTCACTGATGAGGCAGACCCCCAGTGCTGTATCCTGAGCAGGTGTAACCTGTGAGTTGCATGATCTTGGGCAACTTTCTTACTTTCTCCCTCCTGCCCCATCTGCACAAGCACAATGGGGTTATGAGAGTGCCTGCGTGAAGGGTTACTGAAAGGTTACACAACACAAAGGATTTGGCGCAGTGCTCTCTACACAAAGGGAATGTCATAAACACTGGCTGCCAATTACGGTGAAAACGTCTGAGGTTGCTAGTTTCTTACTTTGGTAACTTATCTTTACAGTTCTTAAAATACACACACCTACTGGTGAAGAGAGCACAGGATTCTAAATTTTAATTAATTCCTAGATAGCTTTCCACAAGTAGGAAGGTGGGTGAAGATTAATCCACAGCTCACAACTCTGATCACCGTAGGACACTTCTCTTATGGAGATCTTTCGTAAGAGGAGAATTGTGATTCTTTCAAAAGGCAAAACCCTGGAACATAGCATGTGGCTTTCTGATCTTCTCAAACCCCGTTTTCTGATTATTCAGGGGCATTCTGTGCCATTTACAAGTGCTCTATCTGGAACATGAACTAGCCCCTGCCCATCTCCCTCCCTTCACCTTGAATATTTTCCTTTTCCACTACACTTCAGCTACACTGGCCTTCTCTCTATCAAACACACCCTGCTCATCTCTCTGCCTGAAATCCTTTTTTTTCTGATTTCCATGTGGTTTCTCCTTATCATTAAAGTCTCTGCTTAAATGCTGCCCTGTGGAGGCTAAATGTCCTCAATGCTCATCACGGTTGCCCTTCCTCCCCACAATATATATCATTTACTTTTATTTGCTTATAGACACTTATCCTGCTTGATATTTCCTTGTCTCATTTGTATTTATTGTCTCAATACCCCACCAAAATGTAAAGCCCTTGACCACTGTGTCCTTGTCTACTGGAATGGTGCTTGGCATATCCTATGAACTCAATAAATATGAGTTGAATTAACACATGACTAAATCCATTGATCAATAAGTGGTTGAAACCAAGACATACCAACAGCATCTGAGAGTCCATACACCCTTTGGCCATAAGCATCTGTCTTATCCCAGATGAAGGTGTAGGCCAGGTTGGGAGAAGCCTGGAATGACTTCTGGAAGAGATGCCCCTCGACGGCCACCATCAGGTGAACCCTAATGAGGTTCAGGGGCACTGTGGACTGGGTCATGGTGATCTTCAGCAGGGACCTGTACCCTGCGGTTCTGGAGCTCAGATAGCGAAGCTTCACATTGGAACCAGGGAGCTCGATTTCTTCATGAAGAACCTGGAGAGGAAACACATGGCAGGCACACGCTTCAAACACACCTGTGCAGGTGAACTGTGTGTAGCCCGATACTGTCTGTCTGCTATGTCCCTCACTGAAGTATCACATCTTATGTGGGTGCAGGAACCACGTACCACCACTGAGAAAGAAAAACAACAACAACAACTTTATCCTCCATCAATGGAGTGATGGGGCTGAGGTTATGATTTTTGGATTAATAATTATTCTTGGTCACTGTTGTGTTTCTTTTTAAAAAAACCCACACTGTTGGCAAAAGATGTAAATAAGAACAGCAGGCTTTATTGCTAGCTGCATGCAAGGAGGCCACGAGAGGCTGTAATTATATGAACCTACAACTTCCACTGACAATCCATATAAAGCAACAGGGAGGCAATAATATAATATGCCCTCTGTCGTAACACCAATGTAGATCATTAAAGAACCTCTTATCATGTATCTCTGTGACTAACAGGAATAAAAAGCAATTTGCAGGTGGGTTGCACATATGTATGTTGTTTTTATTTTATTAAAAGCTCTGATGACTGTCAAAGTCTTGAACGACTATCTGCAAACATCCAGAATAGCCAAGAGGGATTCAAACTTCCATCTCTGGTGGCTGTAAATTTTATTATGCTCCTACTTTCTTCACTCCCCTGTAATATTAATTTCTGTTCCACTCGGGGAGAGGCGGTGTCCAGTTGGTCTTGGTTAGGAAAGTCCTGAGAGTCCTGCCCTGGCCCCTGCCATTCCTACCTGGGTCTCAGGCACGATGGGATTCTGCCCAGGGGCAGCGCTGAAGAAGGTGGACAGGGGGGAGGAGATGATGATTGGATCGGGCCGGACAAATCCACTGAGGTCACAGCTGGGGATGGAGTTCTCCTCGGTCTTCATCACCAGGGTGTCCATGGCGTAAAAGCTGTTCCAGGGCAGCCACACAGTGCGCTCCTGGCTCATGAACGGGGCTCGCTCAAAGTGTAAAGTCAAGGAAGCACCTCCATTGGCGATCAGGTCGAACCTGGAGAGGGGATAAATGGGCTGATGAGAGGGTGGACTCACCTTTAGACATGGCAGGATGCATCTCCTCCCCCTCCCCTGATGGCCATGGGATGGGAAGAGCACAGAGGAGAACATGGGCTTTGGAGACAGACAGTGGGGCTGGAACCCAAACTCTACCACTTACTAGTTGTGTGGCAATGGGCAAGTTACTAACCCTCTCTGAGCCCATTTCTTCATTTGTAAAATGGGATTAATTACACCAATACACATGGCATGGATAAGAGTGAAACATCACGAGTGTAGCAGAGCAGAGGTCAATAAACTATGACCTTTGAGCTAAATCCGGCCCACCATCTGTTTTGGTAAATAAAGTTTTTATTGGGCAGGGAACAGTAGCTCATGCCTATAATCCCAGCACTTTGGGAGGCTGAGGTGGGTGGATAATTTGAGTATTTCAAGACCAGCCTGGCCAACATGGTGATACCCTGTCTCTACTAAAAATACAAAAATTAGCTGGGTGTGGTGACGGGCGCCTGTCCCAGCTACTTGGGTCCCAGCTACTTGGGAGGTTAAATAGGAGAATTGCTTGAACCTGGGAGGCGGAGGTTGCAGTGAGCTGAGATCACGCCACTGTACTCCAGCCTGGGTGACAGGGCGAGACTCTGTCTCAAAAGAAAAAAAAAGTTTTATTGGCACACAGCTACACCAGTTTGTTTAGGTACCCATTGGGGCTGCTTTCCTGCTGTCATGGCAGAGCTGAGTTGTTGGTGACAAGCCACATGGCCAGCAAAGCCTAAACTAGCTACTGTATGGCTCTCTACAGAAAATGTTTGCTCACCACTCGTGTAAAGCACTAAGGACAGTCCTAGGCTAATAGAATGTTCAATAAATAGTGTAATTATAATGATACAACGTTAGGACACAAGGAGGAGCTCATGATAGCATTCTTTTAATCAGCCTCTGCTCTGTGGCTGATGTCTTGGACAATGTTCTTAAGCTATATTTCTGTTTGTTCTTTAAGAGCTGGACAGAGGTGTACTACCTGTAAAGCAGAATAAAGGTAGCCGTTTCTAATTAACACAAAAGAAGGACGTGAAAAGTAACTCTCCTAATTTTAAGCTTTATCTCACCTCTAGAATTTCATCTCTCTTTTTCTTTTGAGATGGAGTCTCACTCTGTCACCCAGGCTGAAGTGCAGTGGTGCCATCTCGGCTCACTGCAACCTCTGCCTCCCGGGTTCAAGCAATTCTCCTGCCTTAGCCTCCCAAGTAGCTGGGACTACAGGTGTGTGCCACCGCACCCGGCTAATTTTTGTATTTTTAGTAGAGATGAGGTCTTACCATGTTGGCCAGGATGGTATCGATCTCCTGACCTCATGATCCACCTGCCTCAGCCTCCCAAAGTGCTGGGATTACAGGCGTGAGCCACCATGCCCGGCCATAGAAATTCATCTCTTTGAGGGCAGTGGTGCTGTCTGTCTTGCTCCCTTTAGAATCCCCAGCAGCCAACTGAGTACTTGGATCACAGTAAAAACTCGGTAAAAATATACTTGACTTGCTGGTTTCATCCAATCTTAGTAACACATTTGCTTTTTTAGTAAATGTGAATGAACAGGGAGCATAGAAATATTAAGGTAAATATCAGAGCATGCACAGTACAATAGTTTATTAATTACTTTGTGTGCTTATTTATTGAGCATACACACTGCTGGCATAGTTCTGCATAGGGTACAGAAGAGAGTCAAATGTCTTGACGCCAAATTGTTCCTAGTTGGCATGATAGAGTCAACTTGAGTATTTGGGACACGCGCCACTATGCAACAGATTGCGGGATTCCTCAGAGCTTTCCCAAGCACGTCCTGTGACTTCCACAGCTTTGCAACCTGAACGAGCTGGAGAGTCACTGATCCAGGAGGTTGGATAGATGATCTGGGAAGTGACTTGGGCCACAATTACTCAGTTGGAAGAGATGCAAAAGAAAGGGACAAATAGCACATGAAGGACTCAGAAATGTCTTCTTCTGTTGTCTCATGGGACTTCAGAGCAATTGACTCAAGGATGTCAGTTTTTCAAGAACTTTGGAACAGGCGCCACTGCTCATGTCTGTAATCCCAGCACCTTGGAAGGCCGAAGTGGGTGATCACAGGAGGTCAGGAATTCGAGACCAGCCTGGCCAACATGGTGAAACCCCGTCTCTACTAAAAATAGAAAAATTAGCTGGGCATGGTGGTGCATGCCTGTAATCCCAGTTACTTGGGAGGCTGAGGCAGGAGAATCACTTGAACCCAGAAGGTGGAAGTTGCAATGAGCTGAGGTCATGCTATTGTACTCCAGCTTGGGCAACAAGAGCAAGACTCCTGTCTCAGAAAAATGAACAAAGAAACAAAAAAAAAACAAAAAACAAAACAAAACAAAATAAACAAAAAACCCACTGGCTTTAAAGAATGAATAAGGGGCAAGGTAGTTTCACAAGGCCCACATCTGCCATCCTGTGCTTTAACATAATTAGATTTGGCTACAGAAATGTATGAGTGAGATATCAGAAATTTCATTAATATTGAAATTTGATGTGAATCATCAGAATCTTTGTTTGGGTTTCAGAGGTGGGAAAATGAAGGTAGGGCTCCTGGGGGCTGGTAATTGTTGAAACTGCCTGTAAGGCTGCCTGTAGGGCATTAGAAAGAAAATAAAACCAGACTCTTCAACAGAGAAAGGTAAAAAAATCCCTCTTCTTACCTCTGTGATACATACAAGATTTTCCAGAGTGCATTTCACAGAAAGAGTGTTGCATCAGATTTGTAACCACAGTTCCCTTTGCATTTAAAATAGAATGCCACAGTTGTGTGTGTGTCTGTGTGTTTTTTAGCCAAAAGTAAGTCAGTGTTTTCTCCCTCCTATAGATTTCTTTTTCTCTTCTTATCTTTTTCTTTAAATTTCTACTCTATGCCCAAATGGATTAAGGAAATGACAGAGCTTTCATCTTGATGGGGGCTGAACGGGCGCATGTTTCCAATCAGAAGATAATAGGGAAAGGTTGCCTCCTTCACACAGCAGGGTGACTGCTAAATGTATTTAATTAGACTTCTCTGATTACACGCCACCCCTCAAAACAGTAGCGAAAACAACACAACTCCTAAAGCCACAGATGAAAGCAGAAGGGGATCACCGCAGGACACTATGTCATGTGGATTCCTGTCACCCTGCACTGCCTTTGATTTAAAACAGGAGTTCGTTTCTAAGAGCTACCTTCCCTTCTTTTTCTAGAATCTGCCCCCACCCCAACACACACACACACACACACACACACACACACACACACACACACACACACACGAGCATTGACCTGACATTAAAAAAAGGAGAGTGGCTATGAGCTACACGAGACAAGCTGGCTTTCCTATTCATTTTCTGTTTTTGATGCCACATCAAAAAGCATGAAATGTCTTTAGGGGAATCCTCACTAGGGGACTGGCTTGGTGGATATTCCAGCCCACCAGGGGGAATCCTGTGGTTCCATGCCAAAGCACCGTCTTGTCTCTTTGCACACACATGTGGTCCTGAGTAGGTCTGAGCCCCACAAATCTACTTACGTGCCATCCTGGCGGGTGATGGTGTAGCCGTATTTTGGGTACTTGACAAAAGACACATTCACACCAACCAGGGGAGTTCCATCTGTAGTTACTACTTGGCCTCGGATGAGAGAAACCAAGCTGAGAAAGAAAGAAACAGAGGTCTTTGAGCCACATTCAGGAAACAGACAATTCTCCACTGCCTCTGCTCCCTCGTCTTCAGTTGGTCCCTCAGGCAAGGAGAAGACTTTCGACATTAACTTCTGGTTTCACACAACCACACTAGTGACATTTTGGGATGAAATCCATGGGCAGCATCTCCCATCACCGAGCTGGGCTGTGGGGTGTCCTGGGCACCTGCCTTCCACTCTTGGCCTTGCTCCATTTCTTGACATCGTTTGGCTTTTGTTTGGCCCAAGCTTCAGGCTGTCCCTCATCGCTCCCAGGTGCTCCTTAGCCTGGCCAGGTTGAGAGCTTCCGCATCTGCATACTTATTTCCATTTTTTTGGCTTTGGAGGATGGCCATGTTACTCTTCTTGAGGCCAGAATGTCAGAGCGGGTAGTGGGGAGCACAGAGATTCTTATGAGGCTGGGAAATACATATGCATTGTCTTTTACTGCCCTCTAAGAGCAAAATTTCTCATAATCCATGAGGGTCTGAGGAAAAGAGAACACTGGAGATTTTATATGTATATATGCAAAACCCTTCAATATACACATTCAATAAAAATGTGTGTGTGTATTGGTATTCATGAAGGGTTCAGAAAAAAAGAAAAAATTGAAAAAGTGTGTGTGTGTGTGACACACACAAACACACACACACATACTTTTTTCTGCTAGAACTATATTGGATTCTGGATTCCATGTTACTACAGATTTCTCTCATGTCAAATTTCTATCTTGAAGGGTTTTGAAATCCTACCGATTTATTTCCAGTGTTACAGAACATCTTCCTCTTTCCAGACACAGTAACTAGAACTTTCCCACAAATCCCATTTCCAACAAGCTACCTCTGGGAAAGTCCTATAAAGCCAAAGAGCTGCTACAATATTCTGCCCAAAGTCCATGGGGGGAGAACGCACACGCCTCCTCTCACCTGAATTCTCTTGACTTCACAGAGAAATGGGACAATGAGAATCTCCATTTCTGCAGCAAGCCCCCAGCTGACTGGGCAATATGGCAGCAGAAGAGAGGTTCTCAGGCTCGCAGCGTCCTGGACACACTCCCAGTTTCTGAACTAGGTGATCAACTGACCCATCCTTTGCCAGGATCTTGTCAAAGTCAGCTCGATTTTTGGAATGCACTTACTTGTGCATCCCTGGGTGTCCTGAAAACCGGAGGGATGCTGTCTCCATGCATCTCTCTTTTTATTAGCAATACCCCCAGCTGTTCAACTCCAACCCTTTGATGATCTCAGGAGTGTTTAGACTGTTCCACTGACAGCTCTAATTGTCTGCTACTGGCTGCCTAACAAATGAATGCCATTTTTAGCTGGTTTTAACCACAATGCTAGAATCTTTTAAAGTGAAAAACTAATTTATGAAAATAATCCTTTTGTTCAATTCCATTTTCTTATCTTAGCTCGGACTACAATTTCTTTAAGACCTTACCAGACACTATTTTAAAATCAGTGATGTGTGTTGACGACCACAGGGTACACAGTGTTTGTGATGAGAAAACAAAATCGAGAGTACATTCCACAGCGGAGTGTCCCCACCCTTCCTTTTCTCTACAACTGCTATTTCTTTTAAATCATTCCTCTAGCAGAAAGCTTTGCCGGGTGCCGTAGGAATAACAGCGGCTGTGTTGCCTGTGATTTCCATCCTCTATTTTTCAAATTGTTCCTTGCTGCTGGCTTCCTATCATTTCCAGGCAGTCAATTTGCAGAGAAGATTCAGCTAAGACATACTATCAGTTCATTTCTATTTATGATTATTGATGTGTAACAATTATCGCATTATCTAGATAGTGAGATCTGCTCTATAAATTATAGTGGTGGAGTCGAGGCATTTTAGTTATTTTTGTATGCCATTATCTACGGGAACGCCTTTTTAGAAGTCTTGAATTTTCAAGTTCTTTTTTACTCCTAGCTTTGTCCTTCTATTTGTCAGATGATAATGTACTGGAATTCACATGCTTACTGAACTTCAACCTATGTCTTGGAGTTACATTTTGTATTTCTGAACTATGTATCCATGCAGACAGCTGGAGAGCCTCGGCTCATGTGGGTGGTGCCATATATTGCTTACATTCAAAGCTTCAGGGAAGCTTTCTCTAAAGCAACTTTCTTTCAGGTCTCTTGGGCTGGTATAGTCTACCAAATATTCTGGGGTTTCTGACTGTTCACCCGTATTTTGGCTCTAGTTCAAGGTGCCTTCTGGAAGTAGTAACTATTCATAAGGAGAATACGATAAAATTAGAAGGGCCGGGCGAAGAAAGAGTATGAAAGGGAAAGTATCAGGAAATGACTGGATTGAGGGTGGAAATAATGGGAGGTTAATTAGGAAGCAGATTGAAACAGACCTTCAGAGGATGCCCAGGCCTTCAGCGGGCATTTTCAGTATAAGCAAACTATAAACCCCACTGAAATGCTTAGAGTCCAGTGAAAGCTCTGCCCAGTCATGGGTCTCTGGCAAGATGAATTATGTTCATAATTCAAAGGAAGGGTACTTACAGAATCTGCTCTAGAACTAGGATTTAACAAGCAGAGTAGATACATTTTATTTATCAGAGCTCTGTGGTTTCTTTCATTTTTCTCGAGAGGTTCTTCTACTAAAAGAAACTGTAATAATACTGTGTATAGTATATGTCAAAGTCAAATAAAATAGATGAATCTCTAAATTTAAAATGTTTTATTTGGGAAGCCAGAATTGCAATTCGGGGCATATGCATAGTGGGTAGTCTTCAGGATGTCTGAAGAACAAAGAGAAGTTTGGAGGTTTTATAAGGAGAAATGTTACTTATTATTATTATTATTTTTAAGATGGAGTCTTGCTCTGTTGCCCAGGCTGGAGTGCAATGGCACGATCTCCACTAACTGCAACCTCCCCCTCCTGGATTCAAGCAATTCTCCTGCCTCAGCCTCCTGAGTAGCTGGGATTACAGGTGCACAGCACCACACCTGGCTATTGTTTTATATTTTTAGTAGAGATGGTGTTCCACCATGTTGGCCAGGCTGGTCTCGAACTCCTGACCTTGTGATCTGCCCACCTAGGCCTCCCAAAGTGCTGGGATTGCAGGCATGAGCCACTGCGCCTGGCCTACTTATTCTTTTAAAAGAAAATTCACTGGGACTGATAAATTTTTGGTGATCTGGTGAGTTCTATTCAGTGAATGACGGCGGTGGGTAAAACTAGTCTTATGTTTCAGTAGCTATTAGATCAGCTGCTTTCAGGTTACAGCAGGCAGTTTCAGTAGCCAGGCCTGGGGAGAATTACATTTCTAGGGCAACGTGATGTACCCAGAGTGCTTTCTCTTCCTGGCCTCTTGACTTGTATGACAAGAATGACCCAATTCGTCTGATAAACTTTTACATATTTAATAATGTTATCCTAATTTTGCTCATCAAGAAAATGAGGTTTATGAGCCCAACATGCTATCGTTAGGAGGTGTCAGGGCTGAGATTATTTTTACTTTTCTATTATTTCTTTTTCTGTTTTATTTTTAATGAAATGAGAACAGAGAGAAGCAAAAGTTGTTGGCCTAAGGTGACCTTGGGAAGACACTCATACTCAAAAGAGCTACAGGAATTGGGGCTCTCCAAACTTCCAGAGAGCTCTAAGGGGCTGTAGAATTAGCTATGCTGCCACCCATCCCACCATCACTGGACTCTCTCTCGGTGGGGGACTGAGTCAGGGTCGGGGCCTGATGAAAGGCTCATGAGGGGAGCTCTAAGAGAATCACTTATAAAGTTAGGGACTGCTGTAAGAAGGGCAGTCTGGTATTTCTTCCCAGCTTGGAAGCCTGGGGAAGTAGCCTACTTCCTGAGTTGCTCCTGGGCCTACCTGAGTGAGAATAAAGAGAAATAAGAGAAAATGGCACAATGGGGGTTGTCATGGCTACAAAGGGGCCAGGACCATCCTGCCCAAGTTCCTAGTACCTAGAAGTTTTGTGAAAAAGGAACTGACCAGCAGTTTTTATTTCTTGATGTGAAGGAGCACAGAGATGGGGTGGGGCACCCCCAATTAAACCATGCCTCTCCTTCTTGTATCAGCATACATCATCGACATCTGGACCTGGACCAACTGAGAGGGAGATCAATCAAGCATGGCCAAGCCATAGGAAGACCCCCAGCCTCTCCTACCCCTCTTCTCTACCCTCAGAATCAGACATAGTGCTTAGCAAAGAGGAGGGGATAGGGTGGTGGGGAAGTGTCTCCAAGACTAACCTTCCCCATGCTCTCTTCTCCAGGAGCACAGTTCTAACTTGTCCTGGGGTGATACTGAAGACAAAATGAACCTAGATCTTGACCCTGGAATATTCATCAGCCTCAAATTAGCAACTAAGAGCAACAATACACTGGAGAGAAGGAGGGGTGAAATGCAGCAGCACAATGCCTTGCATCAGTGGGTAATCAGGAGACGCAATACATGGGATTGTTGTGTGGATTAGAGATAATCTACACAAAGTCTCTGGTTCATCCTACGTGCTCAATAAATTCTTGCAACCAGCATCATCTTGACTCTAAGATGCCACCGAATGATAGGTTATGTTATCAAGTTAATACAGCTTTCAAAAACACTCTATTGAATGAACTATTTCAGCAATCCTCCAACAAAAGCCACTATCAGAGGCATTAGAAAGGGAGATTTAATATAATGACAATAACGTCATAAAAAAACAGATCTTAAAAATGATATACAAACCAGGGAATCAACAGGTGTCTCCTGCAGGTTCTGGGTTAAAGGTGGTCAAACGCTGCAAAGGCACTAGGGCTCTGTTCTGGAGCCCAACACAAAGTGAGAAAAGGGCACTTCTGTGAGGGCCCCTTGGAGGGAGCTGTCTCTAGCGGGGCAGATTCCAGGCCAATTGGGTCCCCAGAAAAGCTGGAGCACTTCTTCCGGCTCCAACAGGAAGAAAATTGGTGACTTCAGCAGCTTGCAGGGACAGACGGTGCCTACCTGCTGTTGAAAGGGTTCTCTCCAGGAATGATGTGGGTGCTATCCTTGCCTGCCAAGAGCTTGATACGGTCATAGAAGGACTTCACCGCAGGCCAATCCGTCTGGCCCTGCTGAATGATGTCCAGTGGGTCCCGGGACCCCCGGCAGAGCAGGCTGTTCTGACAGGCTGACTGTAGGCAGCAGTCAGGGTCCAGGCAATCCACCAGGCCATCTGGAAGGGCAGAAGCAGAGCCAGAGTCAGCAGATTTCCTGGCATAAATCTGTTTGGAGACACTAACACCTTTGTTACCAGCACAGGCATGAGCAGCATCGAATGTACCCAAGGGCCTGAGGTGGCAGGTTTCACACAGCAAGCCTCATCCAATTCCAATCTATACACATAGAAGATAAAAGATTGAAAGAAAATAATTTAAAATGTTGACAAATGGTTTCCCCATACAGCAGATGACTGTGTTTCTCTTTACTGTGCTTTAATGGAATGTCTACTTTTTTCTACTATGAGCAAGTCTTATTTGAGGGGGAAAATAAACACAAAAACTTTGCTTTTAAACAATGCAGCACAGCAAATTACCCCCAGCCAGTTCCCAGGGGTCTATGTTAATGAGTGCACAAGTCATCAGCATGCATGGAATTTCTGGCTGGGCGTGGTGGCTCACGCCTGTAATCCTAGCACTTTGGGAGGCTGAAGCAGAAGGATCTCTTGAGTCCAGGCATTCGACATCAACCTGGGCAACATAGTGAGACCCTGTCTCTTAAAAATACAAACTTTAAATCAAATTTAAAAAACCCCCAAATACATGGAATTCCTTAAATCTCACTTTAATGGAGACGAGTATTCTATCCCACTCTCTCTCTAAGCCAGGAAGGAAACTGCTGATCAATTGGAAATCCAGGTGCTGTGAGTTTTACATTTTTTAGGAAATGTGGAGAAATGGCTTTGTCTTGGGAATCTGGAAATGAAGGCATCAGTTTATGCAGTAGTTTCCAGTTCTGTCTTCCTGTACACCCTCAGGACTTGGAACATTCTGATGTACTTGCCTACAGTCCTGTGTCTTCGTCCCTTTACCTGGGCTGATTCCTCTTTACTCATTTACTATTCAACACATATTTGAGTGGTGTTCATGTGCTGGAAACAAGAGAGAGAGTAAAGAACCAAGGCGCCTAGCTTTAAGGAGCTGATGGTAGAGTGGGGAAACTGACAGGACTGACTCATCCTTCAAGATCATGTTTAGGTGGGGGCCTCTTCTTCCAGGAAGCCTTCCGGATGATGCCCCTGGCCAGGTTATTGCAACATACTGAGTGTCTGTGATCCTTCAAAGTTCTTATGCTGAAAATTTAACTCCCAATATGATGGTATTAGGAGCTGGGCTTTTGGGATGTAATTAAGTCATGAGGTTGGAACTCTTAAAAATGGATGAGTGTCCTTATGAATGAGACCCCAGAGAGCACTTTAGTACTCTTTCTGACATCTGTGGACACAGCAAGACGACTGCAGTCTATCAACCAAGAATCAGGCCCTCACCAGATACTGAATCTGCTGGTGCCTTGATCTTGGACTTCCCAGCCTCCAGAACTGTGAGAAATAAATGTTTGCTGTTTAAGCCCCCCAGTCCATGGTATTTTTGTTGTAGCAGCGTAAACTGACCAAGACAGTTAGGCATTCCTGTTCTGTACATCCCTGAATCAGAGGTTGTCAAATAAGTATTCTGTATCAGAATCCTGCAGGAAGAATAAACGTCCCACCCCCATCTCCCCTAGGAGGGCCTTCAGGAACAGGCCCTGGAATCTGCATTTTAAACATGATTCTCAGGTGATTCTAATGCACAATACAACTTAAAAACCATTGTTAATGCCAACTTTCTTGTACTGGAATTAATGACCTCTTCATGCTGGTCTCCCTGTCTGGAAAATGAGCTGTTTGAAGAGAAGAATGATTTCTTATTAATTTCATATTCATTCCTCTCTTAGTACCAAGCACAGAATTGAGCACTCAACAGATACTTGTTGAATGAATAAAGTGACTGTTTCTCATTCCTCACATGTCTGTGAGGGCTGAAGATGGGAATGTTTAGGGCAGTGTTTGCTCCTTGGAATTTCTGATAAGAACGAATTCGTTAGCCAATCCTTATTCACTCAGCTGGGAACTGATTGAACGCACAGTAGAGAAGCTTGGAGAATAACTTGCTTGTACCTCCTGGATTCGATAGCAAGGCATTTTTTTTTGGACCATAATTAGACTCCTAGAAACATGCACTCAAACCCTGGGCTGTGCCTTGACAAACACTTGTACTGGAACGCTGAATCAGAGGCCTGGCTCGGTGCTTTAAATTTACTACAATGTAATTTTTTGGCATTACCCTTTTCGTTTGGTTCCACTAATGAAAATGAAATATGTAATTTCACCAAAGTTCCACTGTAATTTAGCAATTAATGTGCAATTATTTTAATGCATTACTTTCTTTCTAGCAAACAAACAAATTAGGAGGTTGCATGTTTTGCTTGGTTTTAAATTACTAAAGCTAGCCTCTCATTTTCCACATGGGCAAATGTTGCCTCGTAACACATTTAGATTTACACAATTTCCTAGAAATGCAGACACAGGAGGGTGAGCAGGCATGCACACTTTAAATTTAGAGACTTTCGAAATCAAGCCTCTCAACATCTCAGGCTGATGTGCTGGCTATGTCGAATACTTCTCAGCTCCCCGGAGCCTGGCAAACCTCAGGCCCTAGAAACAGCACTGAAGATTGTATCTTAGTAGCAGGATGATATCTAGGCATTGTTTCAGATCCACATTCCAGTGTTCCAATCTAGGTACAAGGGCCATTGGAAGAATAAGAAAAAGAAGAAAAAAAGCGCATAGAATTCTGCCTTGAACATCACCTTCCATGGGCACCTTCACTAGACAGAAGGGCTATACCATGGAATGCCTGTTTCAGATTTTAAAAATAACCTGCTGAGATACGCTAGCAGGGCTTCATTCAGCAGCCGGGAGAAGCTTCTCAGGTGAAAAGAAACCCACTGCTGTTAGCACTACAGATTTCTTTAAGGTCACTGGCCTCTTGCGATTAGGGGTACCCTCCATCTCTGGTGCCCTTTCCTTCCTGAAGCTGGGAAGCATTTCCTCCCCCTCCAAGCCATTCACCACCTGCTCCATGGAACCACCTTGAGGACTTCTTTGGGCTTGAAAAATAACTTAAGACAGTTTTCCTATTAAGCGCTGAACATCTGCCTTCCTCCTCCACCTCCAGCCTGCCGCTCTTTCTGGGCTTACGACTGCTTCAAAACTGTCAACCTCAAATTTCCCCACTGTTGTGTTGATTCTGGGCTTTTGATTCAAGGGCCTGTCTGGCGGGAAATGGCCTAAACACATCAGCAATAGCAGATGACAAATCCCAAAACAGAAAAAAAAAAAAAAAAGGATACAAATGATTTCCTCCTACATATTTACATGTACCTGCTCCAGAGATTGCACATTTGGGGTTCTACCCATTATTAAGCAGGAGCCTACGTTATGCCTGTAATGACCTTATCATGCTGCGTGATTATGGGCTGCAGCTGCGAAACACTTTCAGACGACACTGTGAACTTTAAATTGGCACTGCAATCTCCCAGTGGCCTGTCAGTCATGAGGATCGCGTCTTTATGCCAGCAAGCCCCTTGGATGGAGTCTGACATTGCAATCTTCAGTAAATTACCCTGTCACTGACAATCTTGCAGTTATCTCGCAAACAATCAAGCAGGCAATCAAACTGTTCTGAATTGCCAGTTCAGGACCTGAGAGGCAGCCGATGTCTCCATTCAACAGCGGAGGGAAAGTGGCCCGGCCCTCCTATGACATTGGACGATTTATTTATTTATTTATCTACCTACTTATTTGTTAGCCTGCTTGGCGTTTTCCTGAGGAAGGGGGTGAGGATGGTGGGAGAGGTTTTGCGGAGTCCTCAAAAAGGGCCCAATACTGACTCAGCAGTTATGGGAAAGTGACTTAGGTCTTCCTGATCAACCCTCGCTGCAGTGGCATATGTCTGCTTCATCTTACTTCACTCAGTGAAATGGGGCCAAAAAGAATTATCTAGGTGTTTTCTGTCAGAACGGACGCTAAATCACACCTCTGGCTCTATTCTACCTGTGCACATCGTCAGCTAATTGTAATGACAATTTCAGAGAAATGTGATCATGGAGAAACTTTCTGGGAACGATACCAAGGCATTCCATTTACTGCTTTTGATAAAGCAAATCAGAAAGACTCTTCCATAACAGTTCTGGCAACATGAAACAGGTTCATTAATGCTGAATCGAAACCTTTGGATTAGAAGTCCCAAGGTAAAAAGCCAAAAAGTCTACACAGCATCAGAAGTGAGAGCCTGGCCTCTGGAATTAGATGAATTTGGGTTTGAAGCTCATCTCTGCCAGTTTCCTGGCTGTGTGAGCTTGGAAAGGGAATCAGCCTTGCTGGGCTGCGGTTTCTTTGCCTTTAAAACTGAGTTCTAATTGCACATATGCCATAGGGTTATGTGATGCAGAATAAATGAATTTTATTTATTATATATATATATATGTGTATATATGACACATACATATATGTGTGTGTGTGTCAGTCTGGTATATAGTATATGTTCAATGAACTATAACTATAACCAGAAACTCCTTGAAGTCTTCAACTTTTTCATTAAAAAACAGATGCAAAAGTAAATGAAATAAATATTCCCTTATATTTAGAGTCTTTTCCTGGTATAGGCTATGGGCTGGTTGAATCTTGGCAAAAATACTTTATTTCCAAATAGTGATAGGTTAATAATAATAATAGTAAAAATAGATGCTATAGATTGAGCAGAATTTACACATATTCTTTATTTAAAGGTTCATGGCAACTCTGCAAAACAGAGTAATCTAACTCTTAAATGTCAGATTATAGGACAAGGTGTCTGGGTTTGAATCCCAGATTGGCTATTACCTAGCTGTTGACCATGGGCAATTAACTGCTCCGTGCCTCAGTTTCCCTCTTGTATACAATGGAGATGATGATGATGATGATGGTAGAAAGGGCTGCTGGCAGGGTTAAAGCAGAGTAGTGTCGTATAATGACTGTTCAGTTCATTGTCTTAGCATCATTATCACCATGCCACCCACTCTATACCCACCTATAGAGGATGCAACTGCGGATTGGAGAAGGTGAACATCCAAGTGGCTAAGAAGCAGCTATGAATA